CAGAGATCCAGAATCAGACTGAGGATGTCATTATCCCAACCAGCTGAAGCCCACCATCAATGGATTCATTAAACATTTGTATTTAGAGCAGCAAGACAAAAGGAAACATGCAATATTCCAATATACTGGTGAAAGTTGTGATCAAATTATGACTTGAATTAAATAATAAAACAATTAAGCTATCAAAAAATGACAAATGTTAAAGATGTGACTTGTTTTTCTGCTCGAGGACACAAACAGACACACTTCCTGGTTTGAGCTTCCAGCAAACATGGACCCCAGAAACTGAGCCGTTTATCCATTAACTAGAAAACATTGAATGAATGTATTTCATTTCAAAAAGTTGCCTTTTGGGCGACATCTGCTCGGTTGGATTTTCTTAATGACTTCCCCGCTTTACAGCCTCCATTTCTTGTAAAACATTTTTATGCTGCGTTAAACAAGTTTCACCAAATATATTGCAGGCACACAGAGCCTGTATGCGGCATGCTTTAATATCCAACAAAAAAAATGTATTGCAGTACAGGCAGTTTTTCGCAACATGCATTTTACGTGAAGGGATGATGATAAACTTGGAGCTTATTGTGCAGCACTAATGTGAGAGTACGTGTTGGATCAGACAGAGTTCCTTTATGGTTCATAACATTTTAACTTCATTCTAAACCGGAAATCTCAAAACACAATATAAGCCTTGAACCTCTGTGGAAAACTCTGAAAAGATGGAGAAGAAACAAGACAGACATGATTATGGATCATTTTTAAACTGCTGATTACCTTTTCTATAAAAGAACTAATAACTTTTGATGTTGATGAAGTTGATAAAGGTTTATATATTTGAAAAAATGGTATTAAATAAAGGAAATTGTCTATCATTGTGGAATCCAGCATCTCTTTTTCACTTTTTGAAGGTTATTTCAGGAGCACAGTTTTTCTTCTGTTAAAAATTCCAATAAAAATCCTTAAATCACGGCCCATAATAACTGTTAATCAAGCAGGTTTCAGAAAAAGCTACAACTTACATGAAACATTTATAGTAAAGTCACTGGTAAAGGATTAATTACATATTTCTTATCCCCTTGATAAGAAGTTTAGTTGTTTATTTCTTTACATAGTGCGTAAAGAAATAAACAACTAAAAATGCAGATAAACATGGTTTAATCATGTTTTACCTGACTGCTCTGAGCATGTCCCATGATGTCAGAGAAGCTGTTTAGCAAAGAAAATGTAAAAAACATCAAAATTGTGTCACAAAAGTCATAAAACATTTTTAAAGATGTCTATTAGCATTCTTTAGTGAGTTAAGGATAGAAATAAGTAGTTTTAGTACCATAATTACATTATTTATGGACACCCAGATGTATATCTATGGAAGAGGATCAGGGCCACTGGAAAAAAAAAAATAGAGATAACTGATTTTTAAATTTTATTTCAGTTTAACATGGGAAAAAAAAAATCAGAATTCTGACTTTAATCTCAGAATTATGACAATAAAAAAAAAAAAAAAAGTCAGAATTCTGAGAAATAAGTCAGAATTCTGAGATTAAAGTCAGAATTCTGACTTTTTTCCCATACTATACTAAAATAAGAAAAAAAAAATCAGGTAACTTTTTTTTTTTTTAGTGGCCCTAATCCTCTTCCGTATATATCTGTTCATGCATGCGCAGAACGGATCGTGCTTCCGGGACGGATCGTATAGTGACAGTTCCCTCATGGACTGGAAATGTTTGCTAGTTCCTCCAGACCAGATTTGGAGAGAGTTTGGTTATCAGTTAACTCTGCTAGTTGTGAAACTAATCAAGAAGCAGCAGAGGGAGCAGGTAGAGGGATTTTATTTAAATGTAAAACATCAACTCTGGGTTGAGATAACATTAAACTAATCTAATATATTATTTGTCCTGTTATTGAAAAAAATTCTAGACTGGGTAAAAATGGGACCAATCTATGGGGCAGATCTAATCACGTTAACCCTGTAATGCCAAATGTATCATATTTGATACATACGGTTTCTGAAATGTTTTGCGTCTGACACCTTTTGCACAATTTAATGGTAAAAACTTTGCTCAAAATCCTATTGTACACAATCAGATATACCTGATAACAGAGCGCAGAAGACTACACAAAAAATAATATTGACTTATCGCATAGTAATAAATTATTAATATCAAAAATGTGTTTCTGTTTTTACTTTTTTACATATATGGTTAAAAGGCCAAATAAGGACTTCAAACAAAAAAAAAAGTAATTTTCTGTTTCGTTTTATTCTTGGATCGGCCTTCAAAGGGTTAAAAAAAGACAGTGACGATGAAAATATTACAGCAAACAAGAGTTCTGAGATCAGATCAGCATCAGATTAGCGCAAATATCCAAAGAGAAGTATCAGATGAGAAGTGAGAGAAGGTGTGTTTGACCAATGTTGTCATGGTTACTGAGGTCAGACACACCTGGATTAATCAGTCTATCTGGTTATGAAAGACAGGAAACAGCAGCTGGTTAAAGTTCAGGAAGTAGTGAAGCATAAAGGCCAATTTACATGAAGGAATGGTTCATTACAGACGGTATCTTAACAAGGGATTAGATTTCACCGCCCAACAGGTAATCCAGCCGGACCGCTAGCAGGGGAATATTCTCATAAAAATCTGACTGCTCTTAATTTGAATGCTGACACCAAGGTTGGGTCCAACGTAACTGAGGCAATATTGTGAGCTGTAACAGCGCCGGGCTCAGTGGAGTTTAATGACAGCTTTCCACTGCTGGATTGTGAGGAAATAAAATAAAATAAAAAAGTTGGCTTTACAGTTTAAAGCTGCGGCTTTAGCTCTTTACAGAACGAGATATCCAAACTGATTTCCTCCTGAAACAACTCTTTCTTTATAGCTTCCACTTCAGTGCATCACATCATCACAGAAATATAAACAAACAGTGCAGGTGTTCTCGCAGCAAAGCATGCATCTATGCCCAGAACTCTGTGAAAGCTTCAGATTAGAACCCAGTTTGCATTTACAGCTCTGTCTTATAACCTGGAGAGCAGCGAGCGACTGTTAGAGAAACTGGGAACAATCTAATAGAGGCCGAAATTAAATGTTTATCCGATCACTACATCCAAATACAATGTATATATATTTTTACATAAACATATAAGAAATTGTATTATCCGTCTTCTGGAGTTACTGCCATCTTTGCATGGTTACTGCATTAAAAATTATGATAAAAACTTGTAACCTACCCCCAAAATTTGTGATTTATGTAATTTAATGGATATAATATGAGTAAACATACCAATATATTTGTACGATGTATAAACAAAGAAAACAACTTTATTTTAAACAGAGTTGACTCCAACATTATGAATTTTTTAATTATTAAAAAATTTTAACCAATAACATTTTAATTTTCCTGTCTTTTTATTTTTATGCAATGTACAAATATATGCAAATAAAACAAACTGTATATATTTTTAGGAGAATTTAGTAGATAATTTAGTAGAAACGGTTAATCGCCTTTGAGGCAGACATAAGGATTGTCTGAGAACCAAATTATTGTGAGTTTTGAGTTTGTCAGTTTCAAAAGCATGGGAAATCGTCAAGTCTGCTTTGAAAATCAAAAACTGTTATTTTTTGAAGAGATGCTTACAAGAATATGCAGCTCTCTGCAGCATTTATTTGGTCTGTAAATTCATGCTTTTACCAGAACAACGACAAAAAAAGACAAAGACTGATGATCCCAGATGAATGTGCAGCATCCTTTCCACACAAACATCAATAAAAATGCCTTTCTATTAAAATCCTTTCATCTCTCTGTTGGAGATGTTCTTTAAATGCAACTCAGCTTCTGATGGAAAGCAGAGAAACTTAAAGGTCTGAGATTTTAGCTCCAATGAGCAGAAACTAAACAACTCACTGAAACATCAATAAAATATATTATCTTTAGCTTCCTTTTCATACAAACAGTGTTTATTTCTACGATTCTACAGATTCAGGCATTGCTTTTTTTTCATTATTTAAAGTATATATTGTTCTCTGAATCTTAGTTTAATCAGAGATTCCTAAAAAACTTCCAAATAAAAGGTAAAATGAAGGAGATCAGAGCAAGAAGCTGAGAGGAAAGCCTGCAGTCCAGAGATATAAAATCTGGTCATCTTCCACAGGTTACTAATAAACTTTGACAGAAAGTGTCCCTGTATGGACAATAAGGGAAGTTCATAAGAGCTGAAGATTCCTAAAGTGAAAATAAAGTGAAAAAGTGTAATAAAACTGAATCAAATCAGAATATAAAAGGGACTGAAAGCAAGCAGACTGTGGGAGCGATCTGAGCTGAAGAGGATCTTTGTGGGATGTTTGCTTTACATCTAGTCCTTGAGTTTTATGAGACCAATTACTTTAAGCACCACACATTAGGGGACCTTTACTTTACTGAAAGTAAAAATGCAATTTGCAGTTAAATAAACTGCCCTCTAAAAAAGGACACAATAAAAGAGTAAGCTGAACTCTTTCTTAGTTTCTATCAGGTTCTTAGTTTTGCATCAACTGTAATAATTATAAACTACGGAAGAGGATTAGGGCCACTGGGAAAAAAACAGTTAACTGATTTTTTAATTTTATTTCAGTTTAGTATGGGGAAAAGTCAGAATTCTGAGAAAAAAAGAAAGAATTCTGAGAAAAAAAGTCAGAATTCTGAGATTAAATTTAGATTTCTGAGAAAAAAAGAGAGAAACAAAGTCAGAATTCTGACTTTTTTCCAATACTAAACTGAAATAAAATCAGTTAACTTTTTTTTTTTCCAGTGGCCCTAATCCTCTTCCGTAATAAACTGCAAGTTTCCTTATAATGAAATTCTAAATGCATTTCTATTTCATGAGTTCTGTGAATATTTTACCTTAAACTCAACAAACACTGACATAAAGTTGTGTCAAACATCAGGAAACGACTAAAAACAAACATGTGGAGAAACTTCTCCCAAACAAACAGAGTGGAGCTGCTGGATGGATGGTGTCTGTCCTTCACCTGCTCGTTCCCAGTCTCTGCACCTCCTCCTGCTCCTGCTGCTCCTCCTGCTCCCGCACCGAGCTCCGGTAACTTCCTCCGACTCAGCACCAGCAGGTAAACCAGCGCTCCCAGCCACACCAGCACCGCCACGGCCACCGCCAGCCTCCGACAGAGACGCTTCATTTTCCGCTCAGGAGGAGCCGACGGCGCCGGCAGCCCTGCAGCTGTCAGAATCCCATTTTACAAACACGATGCAAATAAAAGAAAAACAACAAATAAAAGCGGCGGAGATGGCACGAGCCTGTCCGCTGCGCGCGCGCCGCGTCGCGCTCTTAACTCTGTGGATCTCCGCCCGGATCCACGTGCGGGCGGGCGAGGTCTGAGCGTGTTACGGAGCGAGTGGATGAGCGCGTTTCTGGGAGGCAGTCCTGGACCCTGCTGGAGGTCTGAGTGGGATGGAGGAGCTCCACCTGCCGACACCCACAGCTGCTCTCACGTCTGCAGCGCGAGGGAAACCAGGTGTGCCTCTTTGCTTGGGACTGGATGGAAGGGAACGCCTTAAAGCCACCAATTACATCCTATCTACCTGGGAAAATATGTCACACAGAGCGCACAGCTCTAAAGCAGAAGAAAATGATTTAATTTTAATATTTTGTGAATTTACTTTTTACAAATAACACTAAGTGTTGCAGATCTGGTCTCCAGGGATTGTCAAGGTTGATTGGTCCTTAATAAAGCAAGTTACCAATCAATTGCATACCCCTTACAAATGGAGCCCCTGTCCCTCAGTGAGATCTAGAAGCAATTAAATTCAGTTTATTTCTATAGCGCCAAATCACAACACATGTCATCTCAAGGCACTTTACAGTTCAACCAGATCATCCAGTCAAAATTATTCAAAGTTTTCTATCTAAGGAAAACCAGTTGATTGCATCGACTCATTGACTCAAAGGCAATCCCTCACACTACGCATGCTTGTAGCGACAGTGGAGAGGAAACGCTCCCTTTTAACAGGAAGAAACCTGCAGAACCAGGCTCAGTGTGAGCGGCCATCTGTTGAGGCCGACTGGGGTTCAAGGAGACAGAAGCAGAGACAATAAGTAACTGTAAAAGATGGCCCCGTCCAGGAAACACACAGCCCGGCAGACGAGCTCTGAGCCAGAGGATAAAGAGAGCACATCCAGCCAGAGAAACAGGACTACACCGAAAAACAGGCCGATCTTCAACATCTATATAAGGTGTTGATGGCAGCAGCACAGCTGATATTTCTCTCCAGGATTCTCCAGGTGGCTTGTGGATCTGGTTGACCGTTGCCTTTTATATCTCTGCTTCTGTCTCCTTGAACCCCAGTGGGCCTCAGCAGATGGCCGCTCACACTGAGCCTGGTTCTGCTGGAAGTTTCTTCCTGTTAAAAGGGAGTTTTTCCTCTCCACTGTCGCTACAGGCACGCTTAGTGTGAGGGATTGCCTTTGAATCAATGAGTCGAGGCAATCAGCTGGTTTTCCTTAGAGATCTTTGAACCACTCTGGCTGTATGATTTGGTTGATTTTTCTCTGTAAAGTGCCTTGAGAGGACATGTGTTGTGAATTGGTGTAATAGAAATAAACTGAATTTAAAGGAGCCGTGGACCGCAAAGTGACCACAGGACTCTTTCTGATCAGCTATCTGCTTGGTCGTGTTCAAATGATGGATCTTACAGCTCTGGTAGATGTCAAAGGTTGGAGTGTTGTTTTTAAAGTTTTCCCCCTGACCTGTCTGCTGGGTTAAATCTAAAAGTGCAGCTGTTATTATTTATACTGAGATTAGATAAGCTCTGTTGGGTGACCTCTGAGGCAGCTGGTTTCACACGATTTTATTTAGGTGCATTAGAATAAATAAAGGGGTTGAATACTAACTGAAACCAGATCTATAAGCTTAGTTCTTTAACCACATGCCCTGTGTGTTGGTTTATTTAACATGAAAAACCAGGAAAAGACAATAAAATGTATGTTGTTGCAACATCGTAAAATTTTAACATAAAATTTCTCAAATTCACCTTTTGTCCTGCATTTAATCATCCATGTTAGTGATATAAATCTGATCCATAATTGTTAAAAACAAAACAAAAAGTGACTTTCCCGGTGAGATTCCCGTTTCCTGATGGGGGCAAGAAGTAATCAAAAATAAAAACATGTGATTAACACAAATAAAACAAGTAAGATTTACTGGAAGCACAGAGAATAAGAAAAAGGCTTTTCCATTTTCTAGCTGCAGTGGCTCCAAGCACTGAAGGAAATAAAGGGGAGAGTCAGTTATTCCAGGTTTTATTTCAATAAATTATCAGACATCCCACAGAGGATATAGCTCTGTCTTAGAGTTCATGAATAAAACATGTGGAGCAAAGTATAAAAAATGATCCCATTTATCTAAGAAAGGAGCTTTAAGACTTCCAACTGTCTTAGTGCCCCATCTAGTGGTCAAGTAAAGCAACTGCTTCTGCAATTTTACTGATAAGAGTATAAAGATAATATAGATTTTCTTAAACATTAAATCATAAGAAGATACTCCCGCATATATAAAATATTCACAATAATAATAAAAAAAACTAAAGCTTGGGATTAACAAGGACATAAACCACCTACATTCTGGATATGTATTCTGCTAACTAAGAAAAGATGCTTACATTTGATCAACATTTTCACTCAAATTTCTTATTTTTCATGGAAATATCCTTTAAATAAAACAATGAAACCATAGATTCACATTCTGCGGCTGCTGTTTTACCGGTTTTCTGACATTTAGGCATTTATTTTACAGCTGAACAGGTCAGATCAGTCAGTCTTGTCCATATTTTCTTATTTTTTCGTGCATTTTCTTGCAGTAGATTAAATCCAGTCATTTGTTGCACAGCCAAACGACGACTCTAAACCGTCTGCTTTGCATGTTCAGTGATAATGACTGTCATCTTCACACCTTGAAGGGAAATATGCTTTTTCAACTTAAAGGAATAGTACACCCAAAACATGATTAGCCTTCATTTTCTACTCACCCCCATGCTGAACAACACTCTGGAGTACTTTTTTGATATCTCAAATGCATCTGGAGATCTGGGAGGCTTCTTTCTGTCTGCTGACATTCAAATAATGGAGGTCTATGGCGCCCGAGACAGAAAGGTCCATAAAAGTCCACAAAAAACGTGTCAATATTCCTCCATACTGCTCGTCCAATGTATTCCAAGTGTCCTGAGTGGGTAGCGTCCATAATTTACTCGAAACGAAGTCATTTAGAATGTTTTTAGAGCATAAACAGTAGTGTATAGGATTTCCTGAAAGCGCGCACATGCGCGCTCACGACGCTACGGAAGCCGGCAGACCAAACCAGATGAAAGTGCGCATTCAGCGTCTGCTCTGCCGATAATGCAAGCGTAGAAGAAGAAATGTGCTGTTTACCTGTGCAAAGAAAGAAACAACGAAAGAAAAATGTCTGAGGACTTCAGTGTTGAGGAAGAGCATGAGTTCTTAGCCGAGCTGAATGCGCACTTTCATCTGGTTTGGTCTGCCGCGGTTTCCGTAGCGCCGTGAACGCGCTTTCAGGAAATCCTATAAACTACTGTTTATGCTCTAAAAACATTCTAAATGACTTCGTTTCGAGTAAATTCTGGACGCTACCCACTCAGGACACTTGGAATACATTGGACGAGCAGTATGGAGGAATATTGACACGTTTTTTGTGGACTTTTATGGACCTTTCTGTCTCGGGCGCCATAGACCTCCATTATTTGAATGTCAGCAGACAGCAAGAAGCCTCCCAGATCTCCAGATGCATTTGAGATATCAAAAAAGTACTCCAGAGTGTTGTTCAGCATGGGGGTGAGTAGAAAATGAAGGCTAATCATGTTTTGGGTGTACTATTCCTTTAAGAGCATCATCTCCCCCTCTGTCTTTAGCCCTGCAGAGAGGGGGGGCTACTCTCCTAACATCAGCACCAGATGTAATTAGGGTCTCCATCTGCAAGGAGGATCTTTTTGTAGTTTTTTTAACTGTAACACAGTTCAGAACAATAAGTTATTTTAATTCTATGCACTCACCAGTTGCTGAACTCCAAGTATTCAGTGCATCTTATTTAAATATGAACAGTGATAAATGTGCTTGCTATGCTTTCATTGCTGAAGGCTAAATGTTACCTTGACATCATTTCCTAATCAGCCTCACTGGCTCTGTAGTTCCATCTAAAGAATGGCAAATATAGCGTCTGTTTGGTGAAATCCTAAAGCAGAGATATTTTATCTGAACCTGCAATTAGTTTTCAATGAAGCAATCAGTCTGATCTCTAAGTGGTTTAAAAAAACATCACCAGGTGAAAGAGCTGTGCTCAGGCTGGAGTATATGCTGCTGTGCTTTTCAAACACGTCAAAATAATGGATTAACACGAAGTCGGCGTGAGATTCACTGAAAGGCTGTTGGTCTCACAGATCAGAATGACAACCTTTTATTCCACGTTTTATTATTCAAGCTGGATTCATTTAATACTTTATATCATTTCCTAAACAAAGATGGAGGGAAGTGAATGGACTCCAAAGAGCAAATAGAATATAAATATGTTATACTAACACTTTAAAATCATTCAGCTCATAGCAACAGATGTCTAGGAGGCAGAAACGTGGATCTAACTGAATTACCTGATCACTGAGGCTGTTTAAACCTCAATGATCAATGAAGCCAAAAAAATTTTTTTCTCTACATTAAAAATAAAATTTTCTTCTAATCATCTAGGATGTCAATTTCTTTGAAAAAAAAAAAAAATAACAGATGTTAAACTAGTCCAGGATCTGCTGCATCTGCAGAAAACCTTCCTGTTCCAGCTAAACTTCAGCTCTGTGGTTCTGTCAGAGCAGAACTTTTAGCTCCCTTTAACATCTAACAGCAACATTAGGAAGGACATAAAAGTCTTTAAATTAGAACGTCATCAAAAGCGGTTTTATTACACAGTGAAGTTCAGATATTACATTTTTTTTAAGGTTTATTTCTGTTCAGTTTGATGATTGTGGCTTAAAGCTGAAGAAAGAGTGAGAAAATTACAACGTTCCATTAAATCAAGAAAATAGTTTAGTTTTTTTATAGAAATTTTTGGGACGATGTGGTCTGATAAAGAGTAAACTCATATACAGTACATGTTTAAGCCCGAATTATTTGAAATTTAAAGGATTTCCCTACGACATTAAGGAGTCCTATTATTTGTTATTCACACATTTTTTCTGAGCATAAGTAAAAGTTGTAACAGATAATATGAAGGCTAAATGTTACCTTGACATGATTTCCTAATCAGCCTCACTGGCTCAACAGTCTTACATCAGACTGTTGAACCTTTGATCCACAAACCGAACTCTGCACCTATTGCACATTATCGGGCATCAAATGCTGCTGAACGTTTAACTTTTAGCCCTTTAATTGTTCATGTCATTTCTATTTTCAATAACGCATTTTTTGCACAAATGCCTATTTGCACTGAACCACTGCAACTTGCACACTGTCTCTTATCCTCTGCACTGTTCACACTTTCACTGCTGCACTTTTTGTATATTTGTATAACTTGTGCCATTGGAAATATCAATGCAACGTTCATAAGCTGTATGTAACGCAATTTCGTTCTGTATGCACTCTGTACATACAAAATGACAAATAAAGAAGTCTAAGTCTATGACAGATTCTTTCAAAAAAGATGAAAAGTCTTTCTAAAAAAAGCTGACTGTTATACTGCTTTACTTCAGGCATAAATGGAAAGTTAGGTGGAAGGAGGAAGTGCACTGCCAGAAAATGTAATCTACATAAGTCATTTTTTCATAAAATAATTGCATTTTTTTCTTGAATTGAGGAGGAAAATTTGACATTTTGCCAATGGAATGAGACAATTTACATTTAAAATAAGAAAAAAAATTGCGTTGTCTTTTTTTCCAGTGCATATTATCTAATTATCTTATACTAAGAGTGAAAATACTCATCCCATTGGAAAACTATCTCATTTACCTGCTCAAAATAAGGGTAAATGCACTTAATTTAAGACATTTTTACTTATTTCTAGATCATTTTTCCAGTATGCAGCTAAAAAAAAGATTCACTTGGAAAATTTTGCTTTAGAGTTGAATGAAAAATGATATCAAAATCACTATCTTAATATCAAAATTTCCAAACTGCAAAGGTTTTCAAGGATGTAATATTTACTTAACTAAAAAACTCCCACTGCCATCAGATAGCAGTTCTTAGAGGCTGTGAAGCTCAGAGTGTTTGCTGACTGTTCTGGTTAAAGGAATCAAAAAAAAAAAAAAAGCAGCCAAGCAGCCGTTAATCAAAGGTAAACCAGAATAACCAATGCTAACAGAAGGAACCATTTGGTCCTTAACTCAAAATGTTAATGTGGGTTTAAAGACATTTCAATTAGTGGAAGAAAATTGCAGGGGGGATATAAAAAAAAAATGTAACTTTAAATTAAACAACCAAAACTTTCGCAACCGCCATGCAGTACCTCCGTTGACCCATAGCGGTCGCGGACCCCCGTTGAAGACCTCCGCTTTAGGTTAATAGACTATATTAATTAGGCTATGATTGCTTCCAGGAACAATAAATATATCCATTTATTTATTTATTATTATTTTTAATTTTTTTTACAACTAGAATACTGTATATACTTGAACTATGGATGTTCTGATATTGATAGATTTTGTTGACTTTTGTTCTCTGTTTAGTAACATAACTTGATAAAACCTTTTCTAACATTTTAAAGTATAAAATAATACAATTATGTATGAGTCCTGTTAATATCAGTCACTTCTCAAAGCTTCATTGGTATTTGAAAGTTGTTATCGGGACATTTGAACTCAACTCTCCTGTAATAAGATGCAGCAGCACTGGTTGGGTTTATGGTGTCCGATGTATGGAAAGAAGTCGACAAACACAAATGCACCATCCTCTAATCCAGTTTAATTTCCTCAGCAGAAAAATAAAAGTGGAACAAGATAAAATTAAGAGAGAAAAAAAAGGACAGAATTATGTTCTTGTTTTATACATTGAACTAAATATGCCACTCTATGCTAGGGTGTAAGTAACTCAAACTGATATAAGGTTAAATAATTTTCTTCTTTAAAAAGATACAGAAAGATAATCTTTTTTTTCTGTTTCTCATAAACACTCAAAGGAAAAACAAAAAAACACATATGGAAATGAGAGCCAGTCCCAGAACTTCTCCAGAATCCTCTCACGCTTCAACGCGTTCTCAGAAAAGGCAGGAGAGGCGAAGGAGGGAGGAACGCCGGGGTGTGCATGAGGGTTAGCATAGCCAGTGGTGTTCCACGGGTTTTCAACCCGCATCAAGTTTTACGACTTTACTTTGCAGAAGATCCCGTTTCTGTCTCAGTTCTCCAGACTTCAAGTTTAAAAAAAACAAAAAAAAAGCAACTTTGTATAGTCCGGCTTTCCCTCGCTGCACAGCGGGTAACGCTGCTCTCTACGTTTATTCAGAACCTGTTTTCAACAGATTTAAACCTTTAACTTTTACAAACACTGGTGCCCAATGCCCAAATGAAAACAATGAGGAGGGAGCAAACTTCTGCAAGTCATGAACAAAACATGTTAGAAGACTGAACAATATGCACAGCACGGAGTCCAAGCAGTCAGGCTGTGTGGGCGAATCCGGAGCGAGCTCAAAGCGTGGCGGCGACAAAAACACAACCTCAAAAAAAAAAAGGGGGCGAAAAAACAAACAAATTTAAGAGTTCACCTCATTTCTGCAGCCAAAGGATCAATGAAACAATAGAGACGGTTTAAATCTGTGATGTCACAAAGTGGAAACGGCTCAGCCAATCACGAATGAGAAGTTTAGGAAACGTAAACTTGTTTTTAATTTTCCACATCAGCGTGTTTTCATCACAGGTTTAAACCACATTTTATTCCTGTTTTTATAAGTGAAAGCTCAGAGCCAGACAAGGTGACTTATGCTAAAATCCACAGAAAGGTGAAAATAAAATTCTAATCATTACGTTTCTAACAGCTTTTTTCAATCCCAAAGAGAACGAAATCCATCACAGAATGATTTCAACTTAATTAAACACCATCGAACTTCAGGTGACATTTTCTGTCCAAGTTTCAGTGAAAACGAAAAAAAAAAAAAAAAAAACAAGGTGTGGTTGTGTCCTTCCTCTCCGTGTTTGGAAAACCAGTACCACTCAGAGAGACAAACCGGGACGGCGGCGAGGAGGATCTGCTACAGAGGATTTATCTGATTGGTTTCTGTCCGTTAGTGTTTCCTCCTCATGAATGTTAATATTTATGATTTAGTCCATGTGAGCAGAGGCAGGGACTGGTTGGAAAAAAACTCAACTAATCACCACCACAGCCACACATTTAAAAACATGACAGCATCAGACCTGGACGCCGTGCTGCTGCGGCTAGAACCGAGCAGAATGAGATCCTGGTTCTGATGCTGCACATGGATCCAAATATGATGAAAGGAAAAAAAAATAACAGAACTAAGGAAGAGACCCCCTGATGGTGACCTGAGGAGTGGCCACGGGGCGGAGCTGCGCCCACGTCACGGCAAACGGAAGAAAGAATCAAACGGCTGAAAAAGAATCCAGATGAGCCAAAAACAGGAGAACAGTTCCTGTGATGAATGCTTGATGAAAGCCTGACTGGATCCGTCTCTGAGTCCTTCCTCTGGAGGAGGGGAGGGTGGGGTTAAGGCTGTGTGTGTGGGAACATGCTTGACTGAACGGGGCCCCCTAGTGGCCATGAGGGGCCTGGAACAGAACAGTCTGAACAGATGCTCCAGGCAGGAAACCAGGACTTCAACAAGCTTAGATCCAGATTTATTGGGTCAGATGCAGGATGTTAGAACCTAACCCCGCCCCTCCCCTCCTCTTCGCTTTAACCACCCCTCCCCTTCCCTCCCGTCACCCAATATTTCCACCTCCTTTTCCTCTTCTTTGTAAGTGCCTCATCTCTTTAACGGGATGGCTGGTCACCAGGTGGCCAATCAGGAGCACTCCTCCCCGATGCGTTGGCATGAGCGGCCCACCTTACGGTCCAGCTTCACCATCTTGAGCACGGCCTCCTCGCGCCCGCGGCCCAGATGGTCGAACACGCAGTCGTGCTGCTCTGGTAGACGGTGTAGCATGCAGAAAACGTAGCCTGGAGGGCAAACAGGAAGGGTAGTGAGGCAGGAGGCGGGGCTAGGAGAGGGATTTTATCCAAATAAACACAAAGTAACAAAGAACTCTGAAATTAATCATAATCTAAAATTCTATAAATAGGAATTAACAGATTAACACAATCTTCTCGGTCTCTGAGGAGAGGGGTACCCTACTGCAGCAGAGCGCCACCATGATGGATCATTATTTATTTGGACTCAATTCAATAAATTCTTTAACTAAAAACTTTAGTTAAAGAATTTATTTTCAACTTTGAAAAAGCATTTCAAAGTTGATATATACAGTCAAAATTTCCTGAGAAACCTAAAGGTCATTAAGGTCATTAAATGTGAAACGTCTCATTGAAAAAAAAACAGCAGCTCCCTGCAGTTCTGTCTTTAAACACATAAATACGCCTGTTTTTTTATTTATTTATAACCATCCTTTTCTACCTCCAGATGTGAATTTACACTTTCTCTCCTGCTAGAAGGTGCAGCTCAGCTCAGTCCTGCCAGGAAATCCATAACGTCTCTTCTGTATTCAGCTCTTTCCTTTTTTTCCCCCTTTCATTCTGCCAGGCAGCCCCCAGCATAATACCATCACCGCCATGTTTTATGAGGCTTTGGTTAAAGCAGAGATTTTCTATTCCACGGAGCGCCTTATGATCATTCCTCTGCTGTACTCTGCCAGCAAGGATTTCTGGGGATTTTGTTTCAACAAGGTTTCTATTCTTGTTCCCTTTCCATTAAAAGATACATTTGTAAACAGATCATTTTAGTTTTAAACTAATCGGGCAAATTCTGACTGCATGGATTAGATTTTGGAGTGTCAAGATTTTAGGGCAACTAAAAAACACCTTTTAAATCTGAAATATCCAATTAACTATGTCCTGCTTTTCTATCAATCTATATGATGAATCGTCCAAATGGATCCTTGTGTGGGAACTAGGAAAACTTTTATGAGCTTAAAGTCGTAGGGAAGCGGCTGTTCCAACCGTTGCAGTTCCAAATTCTCCCGATTGGTGCACGACTTTACACGAGTGAATAAATTTAAGGTGATCGGTCGATTATCAAGATTGTTGTGGCGGAAGGTTTGCATGCACGTTTGGTTGTGGCCGGTGTCTCAGAAGCATCTTGCTAACCAGTTAGCAACTTAGTGCTAGCAGGTTCCCAATGGGAAATTCCATTGGGACCAAGTAGCACTAAATTGGTGACTTAGAAACAACACTGTCAAGGAACGCTATGGACAGAGGAAACATGCAAGAGGAGGAGAGTTTAGTGTCGGAGGTCGTGGATGAGTCTCCTCCGTCATCCATTTTTTATTTAGAGGAGGAAAGCGGGGACGAAGATGTTGTGGAAGAGGACGCCAGGGCAGCAGAAGCTTGGTTTGGTGTAGAAGGCTTCCAGCCGTACATGTTTGAGCCCTTGCCTCGCAACGCTGCCAGTTCTGTTAGCTCTACGCCTGCTGAAGACACAGACGTCCATCCCCGTGAACACTGGGACGGAACTCAATGAGAAAGGAAATCATTCTGATTTCTTATTCCAACCGTTGCGTATATTAGCTGCGACATATGAATAAAGATGCATTGACCGAAAAAATGTGATTGACAGATGACCGTTGATATACGATTGGCTGAATTTAGGTGTACAGGCTGACGTAAAACTAACTGGCCTGCATAAAATAATGAAAAAAATAAAATAAAATTTAAGAGAGTATTTTCTTTTTAAATAGACATTTTCTAACTTTTCGGACAATATGGTCTAATAAAGAGTACATTTATGTTCGTTTTTTAAGCCAGAATGATTTGAAATTTAAATATGACGACTTTAAGATGAGTCCTATTATTATTTGTTATTCACACTTTTTTCTGAGCCAATAAGGGAAATAAAGAAAATCACTGAAATTAAATACCGTATTTTCACGACTATAAGGCGCACTTAAACGTCTTTATTTTCCCTCAAAATGTGCGGTGCGCCCTATGGTGCGGTGCGCCTTATGTGTTTTGTAACTGCGACTTTTGAGACCACCTCATTGAGGAGATGATGAAAGAGTGGCTGAATGTAAGGAGACCAGGTGTTTTTTTCCACTCATCACCATCGCTGTTAATATGTAACTCCATGCGTGCCCATCTCACAGCTGATGTGAAAAACATGGGGAAACAAATTAACCCTGTGCTCGCTGTTCAACCGCTCGACATCGGTGTGAACCGGACCCAGCAGGTGCAGCAGAAGCAGCGAGTTTACATGCAAAGTCAATGGTTGACGCGCGAATAGGTGAAGCAAAAGGTCCTGCAGCGCGTTTTGAGCAGCAGGTGCAGCGCGTCGGGAGCGCGCCGCCAACGCGCTGCTGCTGCTCGAGATGGAAAAATTGAAGTTTTGCTGCTGGACGCGCCGCATCAACCAATCAGAGAAGCTGATCTGGGAGCTGACAGCGAGACAGACAGCGCTCTGATGACATATGATATTAACGCAAATGAAACGGGCTGGGGAGATGATGAAAGGCATGGTATGTGAGGAGACCAGGTGCTTTTTTCATCGCATCACCATCGCTGCGTGCCCATCTCACAGCCGATGTGAAAAAAAAAAGATGAATCAAATGAACGCTGTGCTCGCCGTTATCCCTGGGGTCTGACAAAGGAACTTCAACCGCTCGACATCGGTGTGAAAGCGGCCGTTCAAAGTAAGGCTGCGAGCGGCGTCGGAGCGATGGATGACAGACGGAGACCACAGTTTCAGGATAAGTGGAAGGCATCGCCGGGCAAGTTACGCCACCGTTTGCGGATGGACTGTAGATGGACTAACGTGTCTGCTGGCTCTGTTGTTCGAGCTTTCGCAAAAGCCGGCATTATTTCTGAGGAGCCGCGCTGCACGGAAAGTGACTGACAGCGAAGAATGGGAAATTGGCATGTCTGATTTAGCGCAGCTGTTTAATTCAGAAACAGAGGATGATGACTTTGATGGGTTTGATTAATACTTTGTAATAAATACATGAATAAAGCACAAACATACTCAGTTTTGCTCCCGCTCTATTTTTCTACCTGAAAACTTAATTCAACAGCAGCCTCTGGGCGCGTCTCCTCCTCTTCAGCGCGGTGGCTGGCAGGTGTTTTTTCATCTAAATAATCTAAATCTTGCAGCTATATTTGCTGTGATCAGTGGGAATAAAGTAGTTTTAATATGTTTTTAAGTGAGAAAGTCCACCTGAAAACTTAATTGCAGTCAGTTCATCCAGATTATCTATTTCTGTCGGAGGCGCTCAGACCCCCACATACCAGCGGTGCACCAACAGTAAATCCCTTCAACAGCAGCCTCACACGGCTGCTGGCAGGTGTTTTTCATCTAAATAATTTAAACTGCAGGCACCAGGATACCGGCAATAAAAGCGAACATATTCCGTCGGCAGGTTTCAGGATTTTAAGTTAATTTAGGAGTAATCACAGCGCTGTGTCATCTGCGATGTGTCTGTCTCATGGCCAGCTCGCAGGTTTGATTAATTTGTAATAAATACATGAATAAAGCACAGTCATACTCAGTTTTGGGCCCGCTGTATTTTTAAAATACGCAGTAGAGCTATTTAAAGGTAGTAGAGGACATGTACCTGTATATAAAAAATGCGCCCTATAGTCCGGTGCGCCTTATGTGTGTGTTAAATACAGAAATGGGACACATAACTGAGACTGCGCCTTTTAGTACGGTGCGCCTTATGGTCGTGAAAATACGGTACTTAATTTAGGATCCTGAGGGTTTTTATGGACGTTTTGCTCTCAGTGATTTATTCCTAAGCAGCAGTGAAGCTGAGACACTGACCGCAGCGACATGAGCCCAGCTCCTGCTGCACCAGCTCTAGTTTGGTTTGGCAGCGATAGCAGCGCCGGCGGTTCTTCTGTTTGGGCGTCCCGCGGGCCTCCTCTCTGTTCCCCTCCTCCTCTTCTGTCCGTGGTTGTTTCTCTGGCGTCGCCTCGCTCTCTGGGCCTGAGGCTGGGTGAAAAAAACAAACAGCAGGGTTACATGTTGGCGCTTAAAGTGGGTAGGATGAGGCGGGGCTGCCGGCGGGAAGCAGGAGAAAGCCTACCTGATGCCCCCTGACGCGGGCGTTTTGTGGGCGTGCAGAGTGTGCCTTGGGCTGTGTCTGTGGATGTCACGCCTGCAGATGGAGAATTACAGGATGAGCGATACATAAGGAGAACTGACCTCATTCCACGGCCAACGTCCTATTTGAGGGGAAGAGGTTAGAAATCAGGAAAAATCCACATCATGATGCTTGAAAGCAACGTTCTTAAAAGGAAAAACATCACATGATTTATATGTTAGCAAAGCGGAAGATGTTACCTTCAGAGTTCTGAGGAGTCTTGTTGGACATGAGTTTAACTTGAGAGTGAAGCAGGAAATGTCAGTATGCAAGACAGCTACTCTACATTACATTCCTGACTGATGGGGTTTGGAGCTTTGAACAAATGCATGACTCAGCACGGCTAAATCGGTCTAACCTGAAGCTGAGCGACACACTGCGAGGACAATTAAAGGTCCAGTGTGTTCAGTACAGTGCCATCTAGTGGCAGCAAACTGGAAAAACCTTCTGACCTCACTATAACGAACCAAACGGATCAAACTATGACAGTCTGTCATTTTTCTATTAAAGGAGCTTTCATTCTTCAATGGGATCCAACTTAACATTTTCAGACATAATCTTACCAAAACAAGGCAACATAATATAGCTAGTTTAGAGTTCTAGTTACAAACTTCTGGTTTTTCTTCAATAGAATAATTACTCTTGAGGTGGATTTCAAACAACAGTTTATATGTTGAGCTGAAAACGAATCTGGTCAAACATCAAGAAATCGCCTCCCGTCTGTCAAGGAGAACTTTTTTTAGGCTACGTTCACACTGCAGGCCTTGATGCTCAATTCCGATTTTTTTTTTGTGAAATATGTTTTTTTGGCGTTTTTGCACATTTCCAAATATATGCAACTTTTAAGTGATCTCTTGTGTGAGCTGCAGCCATAAAATGCAAGTGTCCTGCATGCGCAGTAGAGGACGCAATGACATCACAGGCCAGCGTGCTCTGCGTTTACGGAAGTAAACATGGCTGGTGGTGTCAGAGCGATCTTTCCCAACCATAAAAACTCAATCTTTTCAAGATGGTGAAACATAAATACTGCTCTCCGCATCATCATCTGCATTGGTTATTGTTTTTCTTGCCGCTACTTCATAGCAAGACCCAGAAAAGTGAACTTTGTTGAGTATTAATGCGTTTAGGTCGGATAAATGCAACTTGGCCGTTCACACACAGGTCACATTTGAAAAGATCAGATTCGTATCGGATTCAGGACCACATAGCCAAGTGTTCTGGGTCGCAGTGGAAAAAAATCGTGTCTGTCGTATCAGACAGCCATGAAATGATCATATGCAGATCGCATATGGGCAAAAAAAAAAAAAAGGGATTTGGGTCATTTTAGGCTGCAGTGTGAACTTAGCCTTAGACCATTTCTAGAATGATTAGCAGCGACATCTTTCCAATGGAACCATGATTCAAATCAGACTGGTTTAAAACTTCCTCGGCCTCTAAAAGCTTGATTCAAAGCAAATTTAACAGACTCACAATATACAAACCAATTAGCATCAAACAGAAGTCAAACATACGAATGATTAAAAAAAAAAAAAAAACATTTGATCAAATCAGCTCAACATTTATCCCAACTTAACTTTGACTGGCACCAAATGAGTCTGAGAGTAAACTGCTGAGGTAGCATTGTTTGTGTGGAAGAAGAGACACCCTGCTTTCTACTCGGACTTAAATCGAGCTTTTCTTTGTGTGAATACTTCAAAGATTGGGTCCAGCACCATCTTGTGTCCAGTCAGAGTTTTACATCCTAGGTCAGCCATGCTCTCTATATGTCTTTGTACTTTCCCACTGGATACAAGACAAAAAGAACATCAAGTCCAATCTTTCTTCAACATGTTGCAGACAGAGAAATCACTTACTACTTTGTTAAATATGAAACAAGAAAATTTAGCCAAATTTCATTCACCTCTGAAATTATTGATCCATCGCAAAGCAGGCGTCTACATTATCCTGTTTGTTTTTTTTGGACTTGATATGCCTTAAGAAACAGCTTAGTTAAGAGGATAGGAATCAGTAACGGTCAAGGGTCTTACCTTCTGTCCGGCTGGAAAACATGGTGGAGGACTCTCCGGCCGACGGGGGCTCTGAGCCGGACGGCAGTGACAACGATAGCGACTGGCTACTGCTACTGCTCGTCTCGCTAATGAAAACGGATGACTGGCTACTCCCGCTGGTTTGCATTGGCTTGGAGGTGCAATCGTCCTCCGGCTGCTTCTTCTGAACATCTGAGGTTTGGAGACGGCAGAGGAGAGAAAGGGGAAAGTAGGACATGGGTGGATGGAAGCAGCGGGTCGGAGAGAGAAGCAAACGGCACAGGAGATGTCAAAACACTCAGATGCATGAACCGTTTAAGAGTCCAAATCCCCCTAAACCATCATATTACAATGGTTTATATAGCAATGAAACAGAAAAAGTCTGAACTGAAAATCCCATTCTAACCATCTGTAATGTGATAAACTTCTAACATGTCTATCGGTTTCTGAAGGCAATGAACTCCTCATACTTGCAGCCTTTTATACCCAGAAATCTTAACTTTCATTGACTCAACAGCCACTGAAACCCTTAGATTATTTAAAATGTGAAGCAAATAAACATTAGGAGAGAAAGACGGCAGTCTGACTAATTATTTAATTTGCACGAGGAAATGTGAGGTTTGTTTTGATAATAACGTTTGTTACCTTTCCCCATTTCAGCTTGTACTCTTAAGCCGGGCATACACTGTACGATTTTTTTTGTCCTTTTCGGGCCGACTTTCCAGTGTTGTAAGAATTTTTTGGATCGGGCCGACTTTCAACCTGATCGTGCATCGTGTATTGTACAGGGGGTAACGAGGGGCGATCAGCCTCTCACAACCAACCCCAGATCAGGAATCGTGAGCTCGGGAGAAAATCAAACATTTGCTTCCATTTTCCTTTTTATCTTAAACAGTTTTATTTAGACTTAAATTTTATTTTGTCATTTTGTGCACGGTATAAACAAGACATTTCGTTAAGTACAGCTCTCTAAACTATTTCATTTTTTAAAGTGCAGGTAAGAAGCGGTGATAAAAACATTGTGATGAAAAAAAATTATGTAAACATACGACTGTATAGTTACAGCTCCAACATTTCAGTATTATTTTAAAGGAATATATGTATGCATCGTTTTAAGCAACAATCGTGAAATTGTCGAGAGCCGTCCTTGGCCGCTGCCTTGGAGCGCCGCCATGGTAACCAGTAATTTAAATAATTTAAACCAATAATTTAATCCCAGTATGGCCTTTTTTTAAATAACTGGACACCGTTTTATTTTCTGTGATATTTTTTGTTTTCTCTTGGAGTTCAGTAGGGATGTTTTAAACAACTAAACACTCTAATTTGATTACCCTTCTTTAGTGTCCACGGTTCGGTTCACGGTTTCGTGGTCATGTTTTTTTTCAGTTCAGTTCGGTTGAGTATATGTTGATTGTTACACCGATATCCCATAAAAATGAATGAAATTAATGAAAAAAAAACCTAAAATAAATTAATGAATTGTAATTATTTTTAATGATCCGTGGACACCCTGGATCATTTCCGCATGTTTTGCTGCTTTGAATTTAATCATCTCGCGCATGATCTCTACGATCTCCAAGGAACTCAGAGGGGAGCGGACGGGAGCCACAGTGGGGGCTGTAGGCTTTGCTTTGCGCAGGCGGTCTGGAGCGCAGCAGGGCGAAGCGGAGCGCTGACGGAGTATGAGGGATTTCGGGGTTAGCCTGACATGTTGGTCATGTTGCTGTTAGCATAAACAAAACGTGTTGCACAATGCTTGCACACTGTTGCACTTTTATCTACAACTTTCTTTCCGTCATCATCGTAGGTCACTCTAAATGCAAAGTGGTCCCATACAGCAGACCTATAAAGTGCTGCTGGCGCGTCTTCCAACTCCTGTTCTTTCCCACTCGCCATACCCACACAATTCTCCACCACAACTGATGTTTTTCTGCTACACCCCGCTACGCTGCTTGTTTATTACTGGTGGTTGGCTTTGGTCGCAGTACCGCCACCTTCTGCTCTGGAGTGTACACGCTTCGCCTATGAGAAAAAGGAGCAGCGCATGAACCGAACGCAACACACGCGAACCGAACCGAGACAGTGGAACCGAACGGTTCGGACGGTTTTCATAAACCGTTCCATCCCTAGTTCAGACGCAGCTAAATCTCACAGCTCTTGTTTTCAGTGGATTTGTTCTGCATTTTCCACTCCTGCTAAGAACCACCATCATATTTTCTGATTCCATTCTGAGCATCGGTGTCTCTGAAGGCAGACTTCGGGCCCTTAGGTCCTCTGTGTCTGCAGCCCCCAGTGGTTGCCATGGTCACAGACAGAGCTGCAGCACATCTTCAGTGCACCCACCACAGCAACACGGGTGTCCTTATTGGGAAAACTTTATGCTTCTAAACATCTTTAAACTTTAAATGAGGGCGTTTCTATGTCTGGGACGGAAACTGACATTTAAAACCCATCTATAGAGCTAGAGTGACACTTCTTCACTCTTTTGGAAAGCAGATTTAAACGGTTTAATCTACCAGAGTCACATTTCATATTAAAGAAGAACAGTTGTGGTTTCTTTCAAACAACGGCTCAATCATTCCACCTCAGTGACTTTAACTACATGAGAAACGGCTTTAAAAAGGATGAGCGCATCATCCGTTAGAAGGAGCTGAGACAGGGGACCTGAAATGTATTCATGCATGTAGGGATTTAAATCTCTGTAGTAAGGTGGTGACTATAGTGAGGCAACAAGTGTTCAGGCAAACCTTTGTAAAACAAACACGCCCAAAACTGGCTTCATTTAGATGATGGTGAATAGTGTTCAAATTAGGGTATAAAAACTGATTGTGTATTGTTATTCAGATCTAATATTTTTGAATAGTCTCAACCATCAGAAGAAAAAAAATCTAAAGAATGTTAGAAGAATTATAAAATAAGAAAAAAAGGTTGATCTGAGTACGAAAATAAGGAGTTTCTGTGCTTTTTGAGGCCAAGCTTGGTATCAGGTTCATTTGGTAGCGCCACTAAGAAAACCTGGAAAAAACAAACAAAAAATAAAAAGGAAGGTTAAAGAATGACATAAATAAAATAAATTATTATCCGTTTTGTCCTCTAGCCTACAAACAGCCTTAAGCCGATTCTGCAGTCGTGCAAGACTTTTTTTCAATCAGGCCGAGTTTCAGCCTCATGGTGCGTCATGTGTCACGTAGTATACAGGGGGTAACGACCACCTCCCGATCAGGAATGGTAACAGCGTTCCTACAGCATAAGGCAAGTTAAATTCAAGACTTTTTAATGCCACTTGAAATAAAAACTTAAGACCAAATTCACAAGAAACACAAGAAAAACCTGCTTGCGACAACTTAACCCAAAGGTTTATTTTAACATAAACCACTGCACTAATGTATAAAATTTTGAAAAGCTTCCCATACAGGAAGAAAGCTTAAAAAACACACAAATGACAGATATATTTGAACAATTATTTAACTGAATTCACAAACTTTGTTTTAGCAGGGAACAAAACAAATCAGTTTTAAAGCCACAACATAACCAGTGCTAAGTCTTTTTTGCAGCTATTTTTCTTTGTATGGTTTTTTTTAGTTTGTTTGATTTGGTGATAAGTGGAGGCGTTGCAGAGACAAGGGTGGAACTAAACTGAGAAAATTTCTCGGTAACTCCATTTTGACGCTTTGTGTTTCGCGCTTCGCATGTGCGACTCCACTGCCTTAATTCCCATCGTTCTGAGCTTGAATCACTTCTTGCACAAAATCCACTGAGCCTCATGTATGTTCCCTGGTTTTAGCCATGGAGAAAACTCTTGGCTGGAGCCAATTTTCATTACATTTACACTTGCTCATGTTTTCCAGACAAAAAGTAAACGTCGCATTTCCCAAATGTCCCGGCCGCAACAACGCTTTTATTGGTTCCGCTATCGGGACGGAACCAATTATGGCTCGCCATTATTGGTAAAAAATAAGTCAATTTTAACGTTTTATTTAGATTACAAAAATAAATCCCATAAAAATAATCCTATTTATGATGTTTTAAAGATTAAGACCTACGAAAGACTGATTTAGCACATTTTAATACCAATTAAGGCCTTTGTTTTATTTTGAAGAATTCAATGCCTTTTAAGACTTTTTAAAGGAATAGTACACCCAAAACATGATTAGCCTTCATTTTCTACTCACCCCCATGCTAATCAACACTCTGGAGTACTTTTTTGATATCTCAAATGCATCTGGAGATCTGGGAGGCTTCTTGCTGTCTGCTGACATTCAAATAATGGAGGTCTATGGCGCCCGAGACAGAAAGGTCCATAAAAGTCCACAAAAAACGTGTCAATATTCCTTCATACTGCTCGTCCAATGTATTCCAAGTGTCCTGAGTGGGTAGCATCCAGAATTTACTCGAAACGAAGTCATTTAGAATGTTTTTAGAGCATAAACAGTAGTGTATAGGATTTCCTGAAAGCGCGCACACGCGCGCTCACGATGCTACGGAAGCCGGCAGACCAAACCAGCGCATTCAGCTCGGCAAAGAACTCATGCTCTTCCTCAACACTGAAGTCCTCAGATATTTTTCTTTCGTTGTTTCTTTCTTTGCACAGGTAAACGGCACATTTCTTCTTCTACGCTTGCATTATTGGAAGAGCAGACGCTGAATGCGCACTTTCATCTGGTTTGATCTGCCGGCTTCCGTAGCGTCGTGAGCGCGCGTGTGCGCGCTTTCAGGAAACCCTATACACTACTGTTTATGCTCTAAAAACATTCTAAATGACTTCGTTTCGAGTAAATTCTGGACGCTACCCACTCAGGACACTTGGAATACATTGGACGACCAGTATGGAGGAATATTGACACGTTTTTTGTGGACTTTTATGGACCTTTCTGTCTCGGTCACCATAGACCTCCATTATTTGAATGTCAGCAGACAGCAAGAAGCCTCCCAGATCTCCAGATGCATTTGAGATATCAAAAAAGTACTCCAGAGTGTTGTTCAGCATGGGGGTGAGTAGAAAATGAAGGCTAATCATGTTTTGGGTGTACTATTCCTTTAAGGACCCGTGGGAACCCTGGGTAAGGTCGAGAGAAAATCAAACATCTTTGAAATTCAGTCGACCGCCGTGAGGCGTTTGTGGACAAATTCTGCCGTTGAAGCAGAGCTGCCAGCTGATTCACCAGAATCCTGAGCACTGTTCAGGTGCAAACAACTGAGTTCTTCTGCTTCTTCTTCCAGATTGAAGAGTCCGACCAGCGCCATCTCTGGGCGCTGAGTCCGACGTGTGGTTTTTAGACGTACAGTGTGTGCAGGTAGATCACATCAGAACGTCGGGCCACATAGTGTGAGAACTTTTTAACCCTGCGGTTTCGTCGTAAAGTTTGAGCTTTAGCTTCGTGCAACAGTTGAAAATATCGCACAGTGTATGCCTGGCTTTAGAAGGCTCTTAGATTTGCTTCCTATCACCTTTTGTTCTGACACACTGCAGCCTTCACTGTTTACTGATATGCATAGAAAAGGGTTGTTAGACATACTCACCAGCAAAACATTTGGAGCATAGATTCATTGTTTTACTGGACCTGTAAGAACAGAGGAAAGAGTAAGAGTTATTCAATGGACACTGAGAATGTCTCTCCTTCTACAGAGAGGAATCCATTACAGATTTCTATTCACAGAAGACAAAAACAAGCAGCTCTGAAATGAACAACCCATCTAATAAACACCAGCTGGATTGTGGTCCTTTTTAATCTTCACACGACAGTTTTCTATCATCCTGAGGGAAATCTAACAGCTTTCATGACCTCATCTACAGCAAGGAAGCTCTTTTATTCCTCCATTTACAAACATTGTTTAGAGACGGATCCTTTGAATCCCAGGAGGAGAATGAAGACAGGAAAACGAACGCAGAGAAGGATCTGAGAACCATATGGCTGAAGTTTAATGAATCCCGTGACACTTTCTGGTGATGGCGAATCTCTGTCTACTGGTTGGAGAATTTTATATCCACCTTTTTTTAATCAGCTTCTACTGATTCCAGCAGCTATGAATCAGCATTAGAAGCCCTGTGATTAGCGTTAGCTCCTACCTGTAGCTCTGTTTCTAGTGATTGATGATGTGATGTAATCACAGTTCTTTGGTCAGATGGCTCATTGCTGCATAAAAATGACCCTGATATATTTCTACCTCTTGTCCTCTTGCAGGATATAAGAGAACATTTATCCTGTTGAGGTCTTAGTAAATAAACTAATCTTTTTTTTCTCCAAACACTGAGGGGTCAGAGAATCTATAACCTCCGAGTCTGGTCTGTATCACCCCCCCCCCCATCATAAGTGTCTTCATTGTCCATGCCCTAACACATTGGGTTCTATTTTGTCCCGCTCTGTCCTCTCCACAGTACCAAAGCAGGAACTTTGTGGGATAATATTCCAATCATCGCTCTGATAAGTATGAACAAATTATTTCTCCAACAAGGTGATGATTTTTTCAATGACTCTTGTGCCGCCACCGCAAACCTAGATATAAATCGTTTTATAAAGGCAGCAAGTAGCACCTTAAAGATTCTGAGCGTCTCTGGATCAACTTCTCTTCCATTTTTCAGGAAACCCATTTTCCATAAATAGCTTTGTTCTGTCCATCCTTCCAACCACTGGGCAGCAGCTTCCTTCTCGCACCAGTCAAGGATGTTTTCAGAGCAAAAAAAACCCTTTACTCTGATTGTTTGCTCCAAAGCAATATTTTTTTTTTCAGTTGTACTTTTTGCAAGTAGATTATAGTTCAGTTTAGGGCTGAAACAATTATTCGGATTAATCGATTATTGAAATAATCACCAACTAATTTACTAATCTATTCCTTGTTAATTGGAGTATAGAGGATATAAAACAAGCCTTTAGCTGACAATTAAAGCAGTGATTATACCAAGTAAAAAAAAAAAAATATATATATAAACATTTTGCATTTAAGATAAAGGTTTTCGTCTGTCAATACGCTCTATTCAAAACTCCAAGTGGAAACATTTGAATTTGACTTAGTTTCATTTCGTTAAGGCTTCTTTAAAAAAATCTTTGGCTAGTTCAGTTACCTTGCAACCAAGATGAATCGTTGGGATTTTTGGGAATTTACAAACTCCTGACAATACCACATGCTAGAAGCCGATAGACGCCTCGATACAGAAACTATTTGGACCAATGAAATGCAGTAACGTGTATGACGTCACAATAGGAGTCAGGTTGAAGGAAAACAAAGATGGCTACTCTGGTTTTAGCTGGAATACCCTAAAAAAAGACATGAGTTGTGCCTTAGTGGATTGGAAGATGTTTGCACATTCCTCTCAACTGGATTTGGTAAGAGTTTGATTTATCCGTTCACTCCGCTAGCTGTAAAACAAATCAAGAATGTAATATGGCACGGCTGGTAGTGCTGCTGTGATTGGCTAATAGCTCGACATGGAAGGCAGGTACCACTTGGTGATTTACCCAATCAGCTTGAAGAATTTTACTGAATGTCCCACCCTTCTGCGGGTTCAGATGGATGCTGTTCAGAATTCAAATTTAATTATAATAGTTCTTTGCAAAGCCACTGGTGTGATGATGATCGCTGCTCCCGTTGGTCAGAAAAGGACAGATTAAAACCACTATTGGAGTCCTGCATGCAGCATTTCTGTTTTTATCATTTCTGGCTGGTATTACAGCTGATAAAAACCCACTGAGAGTGTCAAGAAGAGCAAAGTTCTTTACTCTTTTTGTAAAGAGTTGGAAAACACATTATCAGGTAGCAGAGTTTGACTGATACACGCCTTTGTTTATGAGGTTCATTCAGTTTACTTTTGTATAACCGATTCCTGATATGTGCTGCAGATTTTCTCAGAACACATTTTTTTAGCTAATATTGTTCTTACTTCCTGCATTTGACATAATAGCAATGCCACAATGATAACAGTGTTATATTAGACTCAGTTTAAACAGAAACAAAACCTTTATTATCAAATCAAACAAAACATTAACAAAGAATGTGATCTCAAGGTTTAAGATGAATCAGTAAAAGAAAAACAAATACTAGCAGCTCTAAAAATCAGTGAGCTAAAACATCAGTCTACCTCTAATTTGTGGAATCTCTAAGAGTATCAGATCATTAGTGGTTAAAGGAAAGGAGGCCACTAAGTGAAGGGAGGGTCGGTATCAGGCTGCAACTTTATTTTTGTAACCTAAAATATCCACGACTACAAGAGAAGACAGTGGTCTATTGGGAAAGGAGCATTACTGTGATCTACAACAGAGACAGGCCAGAGCCTTGGGTGATGGTGAGCAGGATCGCTTACAGTTAGGACAAAATAACAATAGCCATTAATGAAATGTTTTAAATGTTAAAGCCATGTATTGAACCTTTATTAAAGAAAAATAAAGATAAATCTACAGGATCCGGTTCCACCTCCAAGTTAACAGTTTCTTTATCAAATTATTCACCAACAAATTGGCAGGTTTTCCTTTTATCAATTTCGACAAATGACCTTTCAGGTCAAATGATGAAAATCTGCCCCCTTCATAAGTAAATTAAATGGAGAAAATGTTAAATCATCTCCATGAATTGGGAACACAGCAACATCATCAACTTTGTTTTTAAATTCTTAAAGAATTAAATTAAAAGAGATGAATGCTTTGAAGCGTAAATGTTAATCTTTTATAACTTGATTTTCTGTATGCTTTTAGCGCAAGGCCTCCATCATGGACGCTGCAGCATTCTTTCTTTTTTTTTTATTTTTTATGAGCGATGTTTGCTAGGAGGTATTCATTGTAGCTCGGAGGTCTCAAACTCAAATCCTCAAGGATCGCGGTTCTGCTACTGTCAGATGTATCCCTTGCCTTCATCATCAAATCAAAGCGCTTTACTACCCGACTCGCAGCAGTAAAACTCTGCTAATAAGCTCGTATTGCAGTCAGGGGTGTTGAAACAGAGACGTACTTAAAAGATGCACGACATTGGCCCTCGAAGATTTGAATTAGGGAACCTTGTTGTAGCTACACCAGAATTGACATTAAAGTCGCAGGGAAGCGGCTGTTCCATTGGTTCCAGTTCCGAATTCTCCCGAGCGGTGCCCAACTTTACACGAGTGAATAAATTGAATGTGATTGGTCAATTATCAAGGGGGGCGGGATTGTTGTGGCGGAAGGTTCGCAAGCACCTTTGGTTGTGGCCGGTGTCTCTGAAGCACCTTGCTAACAAGTTAGCAACTTAGTGCTAGTAGGTTCCCAATGGGAAATTACATTGGGACCAAGTGGCATTTAGCACTGACGCTGTCAAGGAATGCTATGGACAGCCGAAAGATGCAAGAGGAGGAGAGTTTTGTGTCGTAGGTCATGGATGAGTCTTCTCCGTCATCCATTTTTTATTTAGTGGAGGAAAGCGGGGACGAAGATGTTGTGGAAGAGAACGCCAGGGCGGCAGAAGCTTGATTTGGTGTAGAAGGCTTCCAGCCGTACATGTTTGAGCCCTTGCTTCGCAACGCTGCCAGTTCTGTTAGCTCTACGCCTGCTGAAGACACAGGCGTCCATCCCCGTCAACACTGGGACGGAACTCAATGGGAAAGGAAATTATTCCGATTTCTGATTTCAACCGTTGCGTATATTAGCTGCGACATATGAATCAAGATGCTATGATGGAAAACATTTGATTGACACTTGACCATTGATATATGACTGGCCGAATTTAGGAACTAAGGCCGATGTATAACTAACTGGCCTGCATAAGATAACAAGAAAAAAACAGATTTTAAGACAGGATTTTTTTTTTTTAAATATAAATTTTCTTACTTTTAGGACAATATCGTCCGATAAACATTACATTTATATATACGTTTATGCCAGAATGATTTAAAATTTAAATATGACTTCCAGAAAAGAAAACTGGAGCCAGAAGCTTAAAGATAACCAGGATCTAAAACGTTTGTGTATTTTTTAAACCTATTCGCCTAAACGAAAATGATTAGTTATCTTATTTGATTGGTTTTGTGGCCCTATGTGTTTTAGTCAATTGCGTAAATGTGCACATGTTTTTGGGAGAGCAAAAACAAAAAACAGGTAAAATATGGAAAATAATTTAAAAACTGACAGAAATTTTAGTAAAAACAAAACCCACAGATCTGAATCGCAAAGAGATCACACAGACTGTCTTTACTAAAACTAAACAACAACAAACTCACATATATGCTACTTTTTCAAATTGTAGAAATTACTCTTTTTCTTGAATGGGGTAATTTGTCCGAGTAAAAGCAGAAAGTTAACCATAGATCTATAACTGATTTTATTATGTGTGTAAATGTAAATAAAAATATGCACTTTAATGTTGAAGTGTGTATTTAAGCTGAAAGAGTAACAGACTTTCACTGGTTGAGTAAAAAAGCACCAGGATTAACTCAGATTGTGCTTTTTAGGAGTTTGTAGACTTCCTAAAACTTGCTGTAAAATAAAGCCTTAGATTGTTATTTTATTTTTACCATCTAATTAGAGCCTTAAAGCCTTAAGTTCATTCATTTAGAAGCTGAAAACTGCTCAACAGGCTCTAAATTTAAATGGTGGGCCAATAAAACCCATTCCAGTGAGGAAGGTCCTGTTCCAGGATGAATGTAACAGTAAAAGTGGAGCAGGACAGCCAGCAGGGTCATGAACACCCAACGGTACCATCTGGGTCACCTGACACCGACAGGTGGGCTCAGATTGACCAAGTTAAACCCAGAAAAGAAAAAAAAATCTGATGGGTGACAAGTCACGTGACAAGCATAGAGTAACGAGACCATGTCAGAAGATGGGGGGGATGGAGGTGGCCTCCAGAAACCGGAACCTGTAAAGTACAGAGAAATCCGCTTCTAACAGGCTGCAGAAACCAACTGACAGCTCTTTGTGTCGCTGGTGGATGAATTAAAGATTATATGAAGTCATTTCTCCTGTGGGGCAACATGAGTGAATCACATCCGGTATGCAACACACATCCACCAGTTTAACAACAACCGAATGGGGGAAAAAAAAGAATAAAACAATTTAAAAAATGCTTCAAAATACAGCGGATGTTAAAGGTGCATAATAAAAGAGCAGTTATTGGTTTCAGTTTGCTATTCTTTGAAAGGACTGAGGACAAAATGGTTGGTTTAAAAGGGAACCTGCTGCCAATAAATCATTCTGTCACTCGCGTACGTCATCCCCCGGCTCCACGAACAGATTTAAAACACCCATAAATACATAAATTGGAACCATAAATACGTTTGTACACGTCGTATTTATACATTTAACGGTTATTTTGTAGTTTTTTAAAGCGATAACGGGCTTATCAGCTAGCTTCCCAACCCCCACCGTCGGCCTGCTTCGACAGAACAACAACAATGGGTCTGAGAACATTTCATCCGGATTTACTTTTCGCTTCTAGATAAAGGGTTTAAAATTTATTTTTAGTGGTCAAACACTTACCCCCAAAATCCGCAGGGACACCGGGGAGGTAGAGAGGAAGCTTTGCTTCGTTCACTTGTGTCTCCCATGACTTCCAACAAGAAAAAAAGAAAAAAAAAAAGAAAAGAAAAGCACCGATAAGGAAACGCGAGGCCGGGGATGGGTCCGGGGCCTGGTCCTGGAGAGAGGAAAACGGTCCAAGTACCGAGTAGAACCGAACAAAAGAAAGGAGGAGCGTTAATTTCCTTTTTAAAGTCCAAAACCCGGAGAGGAAGGGTGGTGAACGCGTTCCGTTGGGGCCGCTGGGAGGAACAAACGGCTCGGTTAGAAGTGGAAGAATTGAACTATCAGCTGGAAGTTAGGACGCTTCTATCTGGGGACGGAGTCAGGGGGGGAACCGGTGCTTTACGCCGGAGCGGAACGCGGAAAATAACCACCAGCCCCCCGGAAAAATGGATGAAACACGATTATGGCGACGTTAAGTAGCTGGGAGGATAAGATAAAAGAAAGAAAAAAATAAATAGACCAAGGACTTCCCCTAAGAGCCGCCTGGACCACCCCCATTCACACGTAGCTGGTACGTTACGTTAGGCCGGAAACGAGTCCATCAAACCAGAAATGTCAATATTGGACACGAAACAAGAGCGAAATAAAACCATAAAAAACCTTAAACGGCAGAAAAATAACCCAGAATAAAAAAAAATGAAAATAAAGAGCTGAATTTCGCTGTTAGTGTCAATGTACCGTGAATTAGTGGAAAGGTTGGCCTACTTGCGTTTATTGGCTTTGCTTTAATCTGTTTACCTGATTAAAGTGCAGACAGCCAAGAAAGAAAGTTTTAATCAGCTAAATCAACCTAATTTAATTACATTAAGGGTATTAAAAAAAAAAAGAAAAAAAAACAATATAAAAAAGCAAATCATTAAATATAATATTGAGTGGTTAACATGGTTCATACATATTTTTTTGGTTTTTTCTAAATTTTGTGAAAATATAAAAAAAAAATGCAAGTTAAAATTTGATGCTACAACCATGAAAACAGAAGATAAAGTAGGAAAGATACATTTTAGTCATTTGAAACAAACAAAATGGATTAATCTGTGCAAATAGATGCTGTAATTAAACCGTAATGTTGCTTATTAACATGGAATCAAATCAGCTGACTAGTAATTGTTCTGGGTCCTCTGCAATAAAAAGTTTCCACGCTTTTTTTTTTTTTTGCAAGTGTTACTGTGTAATCAGTTTTGCAAGATTGTTGCTTAACGACTTTCAAAACCTCTCGCCTCTATCAGTCACCCTCATCCGACATTTACATACAGAGCCCCCAGAAGCAGGAAATGCAGAAATCAGCCGCAGATGTGATCCTCTACAGGTTACAGCATGTTGGTTGTGTTTAGAAACTGAGTAAAAAGATGGACTCATTAGGTTCCAAAGTGTGTTGCACAATTTAAATAAACATATGGAACAGAGACATTAGGAAGGAGAGTCTGGTTTTGTCAATAAGAGCTGTATTTAGTCATTGAAATAGACATTGAAAGCCATTCAAGTTTCCAAATAATCAAAGATTATAAGTTTAATGACAACAATCTCTCATTAGGTAGCATCAACGTCATCTAATGAGCTAACAGAGCGTTAGTGCCTAAAGCATGGTGAACACATAGTGACTGATCGATCAGCACAGCTCGTTCTGTAACAGAAGCTTGGAGGACTCAGGAGATCCAGGTCACCGGATCGCTTGTGTGAAAGACATCACCTACGGTCAACAGCAGCATTTCACACAAACAGATTGCTGTGAACCTTCACAAAATAAACAAAAAAAAAGTTAATCAGCATCGTCAGTTGTTCTCTGAAAAATCCCACAGAGAAGTAGTTTGTAGAACAATGAGTGCACAAACAATCAGCATCACTGATCAGAAGCATTCGATTTACAAAGCAAAATATTCCTAAAGTTGCGGGCTATCATCTCTACTTTATAAACAAAGCCCTATTCTGTTACTGAGGAAGACTTGAACCGACTAATCCATTATCTTCTACACAGCAGATGGGACGCCTAAAGAAAAAACTATTCAGCTAATTACCCTAATCAACCTCATGAAACACTGAACAAAGGTTCCAACCCTTCCATTAAATTAAAAAGTGCTAAATCTAAATGCACACAAAAAAAACAGATCTAACAGCTTATTAAATAAAAACTCTAACAGGAAATAAATCTTACTACATCCCCCAGAGGCCAAAAGATGAAATCAATTGTACATACAAATAGAAAGAACCAATCAGCACTCTAGAGCTGTAAGAAAGTCAGAAAACCCAATCTAACTTTTTTTTTTTTTCAGGTTTAAAGTGCCAACAGCAGCTGCTCGTGTTTCTAACATGTATAAACTTCAGATCAGGCAGCTCTAGTGCATACATTAATTTGGTCCGAGCTTCTGAGCCCTGATGTTCTTCATAAAAAAAAATCCCCCCCTGCTATTTTAATAAGCAATTAAGATGCTTAAAATATTTACTATGGTGTGAAATCTTATCAAAAATTGGCACCAGGTCAGAGCATATGCCTCGATTTAGGGTATGAAAGTCTGATATTCAAATCTTTTAATATGCAAATGTAAAACAGGATTTAGTTGGGAGTTTTATTTGCACCCGAAAAACAGACAGGATGCTTTTACTTCCATCTATGGAGGGTTTTTTTCTTTAAGAACAGACTTTGAAAAATATATGACTCTAACTATGTAACTATGTTATGAAAAGTCAGTTGGATCTGCTTTTTGCTTCTCAAAGATAACTTCCTAAAAAATAGCTTGATAAAGGATTTAATCCTTTTGTTCTTCAAAGGTGTTCGTATGAATTTATCAAATTCACATCGCCTGCCCTTCTGCTGCTTTAGTGGTATAATCATGTCAGTGCGCCTCATCTATGAAAAAATCATAATAATCGGACTTCAAGATTTTGGAAGGAGAAACCCTGACTGAGTACCTTCATAAAATGTACACATCAGTACATTGAATATTTCAGTCAAAAACACCCGGGAAGACGAGATATAAATAAACTACGTTGCCACGGATACACAGGTCTCTACTGCTGCACACGTGAGGAGGGACGATCGACTGAGACAACGTGACGATGGACCTTAGCAGCATCGCAACAGTGCGGTCTGGGTGGTGAAAGCTGTGCAAAATGGCGTCAGGAGGTTTCAGAGCTTTTAATGGTGAGACTGTGAGGAGGAGGAGGATGCGGATGAGGAGGAAGGTTGGGTGGGCAGCAGGCTGTGTGTGCGTGAAGGTCGCTGGGGTCGCTGCTGCGGCGCGGCGGTCCCGGAATCGGACGAATCCACGCCCGGGCTGCCTTCGGCGACCTCCGTGTCCAGCTGGGCGGGACACTCGAAGTGGACGCAGTGGAAAACCTGCGGAGAGATTAGACTTAGTTCTGCTTCAAACCACATAAAGGGGGGATCGCTAAGAAAAAAAAATAAGCTACCTCATTCGCTGTGTTATGGGTCCCAACAATACGGATGAAGGAAGCAGGCTGATGGTCAAACTTTAAGGTCTGCCACGATCTGAAACATGATAAAACAAACAGCAGTCAGGCTGAACAACAGGTCACAGATAATGAACAATGTAATTATTTATGCTGTTATTAAAGAGGAAAATGGCCTCTAAAAACTACCAGACTTAGTTCATGAAGTTCATGAGGGAAAGATACCAAAACCTTTACACAGTTGGTCCAACAGGAGGAGCAGCTGAGAAGTACCTTTGATTGCTGCTCCATACATCCAAAGATTATTGGCAGAAATTAATTGAATAAAAAAGGAACTTAATGTATTCCTAACAGCATCGAAACACGTTATACAAGATGAAGGCTTTCTCTTCAAGTAATTACTGGAGGTATTTCAGACATTTTAGTCAAGGCTTTTATACGGCGCCCTGAAGCGCAAACTGCAACTACAAATCTAAAAGCGCAACTACATTAGGGAAATCGCAACTACATAAAGCAAAGCACAACTACATTAAGAAAAACAAAACTACATAAAGCAAAGCACAACTACATTAAGAAAAACAAAACTACATAAAGCAAAGCACAACTACATTAAGAAAAACAAAACTACATAAAGCAAAGCGCAACTACATTAAGAAAAACACAATTACATTAACCTACCGGAAAAGGTAGGTACCAGTGGGAAACATGAGACATCGCTGATTGGACGACAGCGCCGTTTGACCCTTGAACCGGAAGTCATTCTGCCTGCTGCGGCTTTTGAAAACATGGATATTGTCGGTGCCCCAAACATAGCTGCCGTTATCCAGGAATATTTTGAATCAGGACATACGTACGAGGTGATACTGGATATGCTTAAGACTAATCACCAAATTTCAGTTAGTATCCATGTTTTCATGTAGTTTTGTTTTTCTTAATGTAGTTGCGATTTCCTTGATGTAGTTGCGCTTTTAGATTTGTACTTGCAGTTTGCACTTCAGGGCCACCGTACTTTTATCTATTTTCTTGAAAAATATGAAAATGTTGATAAAACTCAAAAGGCGACCCTTAAGAAAGCGTTCAGGAAACATATCTGTGAAGATTCTCAGTCATCCAGGTCATGGATGACTGAGAATAGTTCAGTTTAGGCAAGTGGATGTGAAGATTTCTAAAAGATGTTTCTCTTCTCATCCAAAGAGCCTTCTTCAGTTCTAACTAGTGGTGGGGAGCACTGAGATTAATATACTGTAGGTCTAACAAAGAGTTAGGTTTAATAAAAGATGATTTTGATCCCTCCTACTGGATTGGCCATGGAGGACACTTGGGGGTTAATGGTCGTTAGGGGGTTCTGATGGGTCATTAACTCCTGCGTCAGAGTGGTTTCGGCCATATTTCTCATTGAAGTGCAAGTCAGTTTGGGGCAGATGGGGGATTAATCATCTGGGAATTGTTTCTAAAAGTGCTTTATAAGTGTAAGGTTATTTCTAAGACCACCTCCTCTGTTGAGAGATAGGTGGATTCCTTAACACCTCTCTCAAACCATCTGTCTTCCTCGGCAAGAATATGGATGCTGTTGTATTAAAAAAATGAGTGTCCTTTAGCCTTCAGGTGTAGGTGGACAGCTGAGTCCTGTCCTGAGGAGTTGGGTTTCTTACTTTAGGGTGAACTAGCTTTTGTCTCAGGGTGTTGCCAGGTTTAAATCAGGAAACGCTGATTTAGCAGTAGCAATTACATTTACCCAGAGACTACAGAACGTCTAAGATGTTTGCAATTTCATGTTAACGAAGGGACTTTATACTCAGGAATATTTTTATTGTTGACCTAATCGCCCTCCCAAACACAGGAGGGAGCTGGAAATGAAAAATTTAGAGGATTTTTTTACTAATGCAAACATTAGTGTTAATGTATACAGCTAATGGTCCCAGATATTGACGAGCTGGAGGATATTTCACAACACGCTTTGCTGAAAGCACAAAGAATAAAACCCACAAATAGCATAAAAAAGACACGTATGCTCCTGACGATTGCTAACGTTGAATGGCCCATGTTAGAAGGTGTAGATCTTTAGTTAAAGATCTTATAAATATGTCATGGAAGGACCCAGATCTTCTAAAATTTAACACTTTTATCCCGACTAAAGAGGATTTTGTATGTTTTATTTGATCTTAGTGAAATTCTGCTGTAAACAACAGAATTTCTCCATTGTGGGACAATGAAGGGATTTCCTGTCCTATTCTATTCAATATGTACGCTGGAATTATGTATTTTATTGCAGTTTGGTGTGATTTATACACTAATTAAAAACATATCCTGGACCCCAGCAATACTAGCAACCACTTTAAGGGAGCTAATGGGATCTAAATAAAGAATGAGAATAATGGGTTTGTCTTCTGTATTGTGCGGTCAGTCAGCCACAGAGGGAGGAGGAGGGACAGCAGAGTCTCTCGCAGTGATATGCTGGGCAGGACAGGACCAAAGGACGGCCCACAGTGATCATCATACTGATGGACATTATCCGAACCTTCACAAAAAGCTTCCAAAGGAAAAAAAACAGCCTGTAAGAAGTTCAGATGCACTTCTTAAAGGTATTAATAGAAATTAGCTTTGTTAAACTTTGTTTAACTGATTTAACTTCTACAGTTTATTAAAATAACTTCAACAAAGAACTTATAATATGAAGAATGGAAAAAAAATTAATATTTTTTAATCCATGGTTTCTTGTAAGATTAGATTTTTTGTTAGATTAAACATCGATAGCTTCACATAAACCAGTGAACTCACCGACATGCGACCCTGGTCCGATCCACCACCTTGGTCCACTGCTGCTGATTGGTGGAAACTTCAATATAGTAACTGTAGGAGCGCTCATCACAGTCCCAGAGAAGCAGCCTGGATCAGAACATAGAAACCCAAACATTCACTTTGATAGTAATCCTGACATTCCAGCTCTGGTTTAACGAGGGAAAAGAAAGCTGGAGTCAAAGCAGACTGCTCTAATGTTGGCAGCTCTTTATGTTCATCACTCATGACGTTAAACGTTGAGTTTCAGCTCATAATGAAAAGCAGAAACTAAACTGTGGAACAGAACAGTAAAAATGTTTGGTTTAAAACCAGAACTGTTTAACGCCTTGGAGGAAATGGGACAGAGGGACTGACCCGAACCCACTTAGGCCAGAACTGACCTCAGTGACCCGATGGAGTAGGGCTGAGCCAGCTGGATGACGATGGCTCCTGAGCCCAGCTGGTGACAGGTGTAGCCCGAGTCCCAGTCGTAGTTCCGGGTGTCGCCGTTCAGCAAAGCGTTTCTGCTTCGGCTCACCCCCTCTATCACACTGGCACAGGCTGCTATGGTGGCCACGTTCTCATTGGGAACTGTGGGACATTAGAAGTAGTAACGTTCAGTTACCACAGAAACATTTAACATCATGAGGAATACGATCTAATAATATAAAAACTAAGGAAGTTTTTAACAGAAACGTACCAATAAGTCCGTTCTCCAGAGTGAAGGAGCGGTTGGTGAACATGCATTCAAAAGCCACCAGGTGGAACACCTTGTTCACTGTGTTGTGTGTTCCAACAATACGAACGTATCTGAAACACGAAAAACCATCCGATTAAATAAAAAAAATAAAATAAAATAAAAAAAAAGAGATCTGAGGACTCATCATTAATAATGAGGGGAATCAAAAACATTGGAGCAAATTGACCATTTGCTGCAGTTTCTGTGATGCTACGGAGGGTGGGGGGCATTTTTAAAAATGTTTTATGTCCTTAAAATATCCTTAAAACACTTCTGTTATCCAAGTCAAATAAATAATTTTAGGTGAAATAAACAGATGTTTAACAAAAAAGATAATTAAAAGGTAGACTACTGCAAAAAAAAAAAAAAAAACATATATATATATTCATTATAAATTGACATTTTTCAGTAGTTATCGCTGACATTTCAACACATTTATTTTAATCCCAAATTTAAAACAGGACCCATCTAAAAGTTAAATATAATATTTTTTTTTATTTTATAAGCAGAAAAATGAATATAGAACATTTTGTAGTTTATTTCTACCAATTTAAAAGTCAGTGTTTTAACTGAGATTTTTGGTTCCTTTTTGTCTGTGAAACATTTAGTAACAGTAAAAAGAAAAACAAACCCATCTTAAAATATAAGAATTTACATATTTTTTATGTTGTATTGTATTTTTATAGTTTTAAAGTGTAGATCACTTTTTTAGTTATGATCCCATCTTGTTTTCTTCATTGTTTGATAAGTAATGAGATGGTGGAGTCTAAATGAGCAGAGGACAAGTTCCAGAGGTTTTACAGATGTTTGCCTCCTCTGGTGAAAGGTTGAAATGACATTCCTACTGTGCAACACATAGAAGAGAGGGAAAAAAATAAAAAGCACTGTATAGTGTATAGATTACTCTGGGATAAGGAATTCATCAATAGTGAAGTTTTTTTTTCCAACCTATTTGCTATTATAACGACCATAGCTCTAACCCATCACATTACTCCCTCCTTGTTTATTTCGTCACCAATCACAGTTCAATTTGGCTCTTTTTTTCACACTAGACCAAAAGTTTTATCTTCTTTTTCTTGTGTTGAGTCTATAACCAAGGTTAGGGTGCTTCCCAGATGGTGGTTTGTGACCCATATTCACAACCTGTCGCCTGTGTTTTCTCTGTGAGGCAGAGACTCAACAAAGCAGCTCATCCCACCCAGAGAATCCAGCCTGAATCTGTCGTTCATGAACCGAGTAACGAAGTCTGTAGAGGCAACAACGATAGAGGGCATGTGATTTTACTTTGGTTGATTGTAGGAGGACGTGTGTCAGGAAGCACTAAAACATAAACGTTCTTATAAATACCGGTTTAATGTAATTCTATTTGCTTCTTTGGGACATTTAGCAGCTGTATCCCTGAAGCTAACTGATTGCAGCACCGTTCATATAAAGGCTTTGGACAAGAAAACGAATCGTCTTTGTTTGCATCCATTACAGTTGGACTAGTTCCTGGAAACATCAGTGAGGAAAACTCAGCTGCTCGGTTCCCACAGCTGCTCCCAGTTAACAAACAGGGACAGCCGCTCTGAAATAACTGATTAACAGATCTGGAGTTCAATAAAAACAAAGAGCTAAAGATCATATTTGACAAACTTTGCATTTAGTTACAGCAAAACATTTTGTGAAGTCTGAATTAGATAAGTATTTTTTTCCTATACAACTTAGGATTATGTTGTTTAAAACTTATTTTTATCTAAAGCAAAGATATAAAGGATAACTGAACACAAATTTCCCGTCTAACTGATGTTTAAACCCTTCTGACATAATGTTTTTTGGTCCACTCTATAAAGCTTCAAACTCAATGCTATTTCTGACATTTTGAATTGAAAAAGCTTCCTGGATGGGAAGCGAAACGTCTTCAAACTTGGAAACAAAGTCCAGTGGATTGTTTTTTTATTTATTTTGGAATGACCATGACCTGGATGACTGAGAATCTTCACCAGCTCCTGACATAAAATGATGAGCTCTATAAAAAGGGCAGATAAATAAAAGCACTTTATTTAGATCGATTCACTTAGAAGGTCTGCATAATTCATTCCAGTCGTCTCAAATTGCTTTAAATGTTAAAGAGTTTTTCTACGTCTCCATCTAAAATCATCTATAACAATAAAAGCATCAAAATAATGAGCTGGGATGTCTGGAAACATACGAATTAAAAACATTTAAATTAATAATCCTCAGAGCTAAAGTCAATTCAACCACAGGGAAGGAACTGGAAAGATGTAATTGTTCTTTACCTGCAAACTCGTGGTGTGAAGTAAAGGTTCTGCCAGGACCTGCAGAGGTACTTGGAGTGGTCGATAACGCGGATCCAGTCCAGCTCATCCATGGACACCTCGATGTAGTAGGAGTAGGAGCTTCAACCAGATTAGAGACGCATTAGATTTAGAATAAATTAAACAATTAGCAATATGCAGTCACTTAATGGCATCAAAGCAGTAAAGTTCAGTGATCATCTGCCGGAGATTGATGAGCGGGGCTCGTCTCACCGGCTGTCTCTGTCCCACAGCAGCAGCCGGATGTGGTTGATGATGGACGGCTGCCCCAGTTTGACCTGGAGCCCGGAGCGGCCGTCCTCTTCGATGGGGTGCCGGGAGAAGCCGTGGTCCAGGTCGTAGTTCTGGGTGTCTCCATCCAGCAGCGCAGACTTCAGCTCTCCTTTAACGACCTGAGCTCCGTGCTTCATGGTGGCGATGTTCTCCTCTGGGACTGAGATCAGACGCAGGTTGTGTTCTCCGCTACAGTACAGGAAGTGATTTCCTCTGTTAGGCTCAGACAGCAGGACTTACTGAGCATCCCTCGATAGTTGAGGTCCATGTTGCGGCTCTCGGAGCGGGTCTTTATGGCGTCCAGCAGGTCGTCGGGGCTCACCAGGCCAGAGGGCCGCACCACATTCAGCATCTCTGTCAGAGTCATGAGCGGCAGGCGCACTGCTGACATCACTTCCTGTGTGTCGGCCCCGTCCTCGTGCTGCTGGCACCAGCGAGACAAGGCCTGGAAGATTTCCTTCTCGCTGGCAGCAAACGAGTCCCGCCTGACCACAGTCAGCAGAGCCGCCTGCAGAAAAAATACCTTTTTTTTTTACAAACAAACCCAGATAGGAAGAAAAGCGAGCCTCAAACTGAACAATACGTCAAACACTGTACCTTAGAGAGCGACAGGAAGCCCTCTGAGTTCAGAACCTCAGGAGCATGTCTGTCCATGTAGGCGCAGCAGGCCTCATTGAGCGCGCTCAGAGAGTAGAGGCTCGCCACGTCGAACACCAGGCAAATGTTGTTGATGTGCAGGATGGTGCGGAGGAACTCGCAGGTAGAGTCCTCCAGAGGCTGGAGGCCGTAGCGATGAGCCAAACCCAGGAAGTCCAGCAGCACCTCTTCCCGGGCTGAACTGAGGCTGGCCCGGCCCGTATACAGGTAGTTTAGCAGCATGGAGAACGCTTCAGCCCGGGTCTCCTCCAAACGGACCTCAGCCTGGGGCTGGGACTCTTTCATCCCACCGTACAGCAGGGCCCTAAACAGGAAAGCGACATCAGAAGGAGGTCATGAATTCTATCACACATTCAGTTTTTTTTTTCTTTTTACAGTATCCTGTCTGGTTATAAGAATAATTGTCTTTATGCCAAAAAAGCGCCCAATGGATTTTGCTTTCACAACTGGAACAGTGCAGCTATCACTATAGTGTTCCGGTTGATATATGCATGTAAATAGCTTTATTATAATTATACAGGGAGTATTACAGATTATATGGGCACTGCAATGTAAGTAGAACAGGAGAGGAAAAACAGAAAAAAGGAGAAAAGATAAAAGAAAGAGGAGATAAAAGGGAGATACTGATAAAACGTCTTCAGTCTGTTTCATCACCTGCAAAGAGATGTAAAAAGGACAGCTTAACCAACGGATATAATATAAGAGATACAATAAACAAACACCTTGTTACTATCGCTGAAATATATATATATATATATATATATATATATATATATATATATATATATATATATATATATATATATAAGATTATAAGATTCAGTTTTAATGTAGCTACAATCAAATTTATTCAGACAAACAGGAAACACATTCAGAAAAATTGAAGAATAAACAAACAATAAAACCTTCAGGTAAGAAAATTTTCACCTTAATTAAACTAATAACATAAGAACCATCTGATGTGTTTAACTGCAGCCATGTAGTAGAAGAAGAAGCAGATATGGAGATAATTTTTACATTAATAAACATACGGATTACTTTAACAATTTGAAAATAAACAGCTTCATATTTAACCAAAATGGATTCATATGTGATGACTGAAATTATATTATTTTCCAAATTACTTATTCTATCAAATAATAAAATGTGTCATTGAATTTATGTACTTTACAACAGCAAGTAATTTAATAAATATTTGTTCAAAATTATTATTCCTTAGCAGGCTGGGACTGGGAATGATTTTAGGCCCTGGCATTTTTCCATTTTTTTACAGCTACACCCGCCCACAAAAAATAGAAGCACAGCCAAACGCATGCGTCTCATATGTGAAACACAATACGGATACACATTGTGGATTAACCAATATATCTTCAAGCATCACATGACAACCATCGCCAGTCTTCTATAATGCGGTTTAACTGGCTTTGGTTATTAACACGGATGCGACGGTGACTGCTGCCACACTCACCACATCAGCAGGGTTACTAGATGTCAGTGACTCACGTTTTCCATCCCAAAATATGTTCATACACCGCCTGAATATACGAAATCTCGCCCAATTTTAAGCAAAGTCTATTGATCTCTTAGGCAACAAATCTAAAGAAAAACATTTTTTACCCATAGATTACCATCCTAAACTGCCAGATTGGGAAACATCCCAACCTGGCAACAATGCACGTGACGGGAAACATTAAACTTTGGATGCAAAACCCCATCATGCACCGCAAAATATTTTTGCAAAATATTCTAACATAAATTTGCCAAATATAAGAGGAACATCGTAGTTTTGTTTAAAGAAAGCATATTAGTTTTATTATAATTTAGTTTGTTGCAAGGATTTTACAGTTTGAAGAAACAGAAAATGACACCATATGCCACCCTTCACAAGTATGTGTATGACAAGGAAGGGCTATTTATACTGCATGCATCACTTAGGTGGTTAACATCATATTACTTCTTGAGCTCCTTGAGCTATTTACTGTCACAGGTAGGTGCTACGAGAGTACGTGTTGGGGCCGGTATGATTTAAGGATGGCCGGCCATAGCACACTTGGAATTAGGAGCGGCCCACTGGGCAGTATCACAGATTACCAATCCGAGCCTGTAACAGTACTTAGAGCAATTACTCTGAATCTTAAATTAGAAAGGTTTTTATATAGGTCCATTAGTGTAAAAGAAGTGATAATGACAGTAGTTTGAGGGTTAATGACATGTTATAACTGTGTGGTGGATGGAGGGAGTATTTAAGGGAATTTCTCCATGTGAGATCATCCATTCATCCATCTTCTGACACGCTTATCCCAAGCGGGGTTGCGAGGGGTGCTGGTGCCCATCTCCAGCTGCCTACGGGAGAGAGGCGGGGTCCATCCTGGACAGGTCGGCGCAGAGCAACACACAGACAAACCATTCGCATTCACATCTAAGGAGAATTTAGAGAAGTGGGAGGAAGCCAGAGTACCCAAAGAGATCCCAGGCATGCTCAGGGAAAACTCCATGCAGAAAGATCCCGGGCCGGGAATCGAACCCAGAACCTTCTAGCTGCAAGGCAGCAGTGCTACCCACTGAGCAGCTTTTTTTGTGCCTTTTTTTATAACAAAACACAAATTTATTGGTACCTGAAGTAGTGGCATCGAGCAGCCAGGATGACCCGGTGCGCAGGGAACCTCTTCCCCTCCACTATGAAGGTGACGTCGCTGTACTCCTCTCCCAGCACGAGCGCTCCGAGCTGCTCAGACAGCAGGTGGATGTGGTCGATCTCCGAAACGGAGGCCAGAGGCCTCAGAGGATGACTGTTGCTCATGGTCTAATTATGTTCACAGACACATCTGACACACATAGCAGACATGCAAACAGACTCCGGTGACCAAATCAATCTGAAACCAGAAGCAAACACCACTCAAAAACCGTCTACCTTTAGCATGCTACATGCTAACTACACTGAGGCCGACCGGCGGCTCATCAAGACAATACGCTAAATGTGCTTCATGTTGGCGGAAAATATATTGTAATCGGTGACTTTAAAATAAATGAACAAAAAAATATTTTAAAAACTGCACCGGTTTGTAGCCGCTAACAAAAGGCTAATTTCTCCCCAGCCTCGGTTGTTAACCATTTAAAACTTACCTAAAAAAAACTAACTCTCACTTCCGTTTAGTGTAACACTGGAAGCTGGGAGCTGATACTGTGACAACGGAGGAAAACTTCCGGTTCTCTATCGTTCGGTTTATCCGCTGCAGCGCCACCTCCTGGATTGGAGAATATGTCCCGTGGTAGTTATTTATGATTTTGGCAATTGATCAGGATCAGGCGTCTCCAACCTGCCGCCCTGGTTCCTTTTATTCAAGATAAAATAAAGTTTTGTGCTTTGTGTATTTATAAAGTATTTCCTCATAATTATACAGGGTTTATGTAGGTTTTTTGATTTTAGAGTAACTTTAATCTGCTTGAAAGAAGGCAAACGTAGATGAATAAATTATCTGGGCCTGGATTTGGAAAAGTTTCCAGTGGCATTCTCACTTCTTGATTCACAGGAAAATAGAAAAAAAAGAATTTTTATATGCATGTATTTACTGTTTTAACAAAAATGACCCATTAGAACTAACTGAGCCACATAAAAAAATATCCACCTGGATGATGTTGTCTGTCCTGACCCATTTTTGTCAGTGGTGCTTTTTTTTGCTTCTTTTTATGCTGACTGTAGATTAAAAGTTGAGTCACATTTTGCATGCATGTGGCATTGCACAAACTTTTGTGAAATGAGTTTAATCATCTAACACGTTTAAATGAAGAAGTCACATAAAAAAATAACTTCTCTTATAACCATGGCATTATCATAGTAATTCTCGTTAAACATATAAATGAGCTAGGCTAAGTTTCTCAGCATAAGTTGATTCTTAAAATATTTCCTCTTTCCTGTTGTGAAACATTTGCTTCTCTAAACTGCTGGTTTCTGGTTAGAAACAAGCTTGTCTTTAACATGCAGTAGTCGAGTTTTAAAGAAATGTTCTCTTTTTCTTCCATGTGAAAAAAAACTTCCTCTTTGAGATCCACTTTATGATGATTCTCACACTTGTCTGCACGTCTTATGATTTTTAGAAACTGATCAAATAAAATCAACTTCATCAGATTCAGATAAAATTGTAAAATTGCAAATTTATTATAAAAACAAGAATCCAAAGCTTGAACACTTTACAGCAGCTAAATAGGGAATATGTGGCATATTTTGTTAATTTAATACAATCATCCAATAATTAATGAGACATTTTTTTTACAAATAAATGTTGTTAATGCCTGCTATAGCATTTCTAACTTTTAGCACATTCTCTGATGACATATTTGAGAACCTCAGACTGGTTTGTTTGGCTATTTGACTGAATCATAGAGGACACTGGGATCTGTGGAGGAAGCTTTCACAGTGCTGTATGTCACAGTATCACCTTCGTCATCATGTTGAAGCTGCAGAAACAGAAAAGAGACGCAGTCTGGTCAATATTCAGTATTGTCAAACATTGTTTTAGGTATATGAGGAATACGCTTTGCTAGCAAAGGGCTGCTGACAGACAAATATACAGTTTAGCTGAATACATTTAAAGATACATATTTGAAATATGCATGTTATAGGAATAGAGGAAGGGGAAGCACCCTGGTAGATACTGATAATATGCTATTATAAGATGACTTTCAATGAAATAGATTTTTTTTTTTTTTTTTTTTTTTTTTTTTTTTTTTTTTTTACAGTGTCCTGTCTGGCAAGATGGCAATAAGAATAATTGTCTTGATGCCAAAAGGAGCCCAACAGATTTTACTTTCACAAGTGTAGCGGTATGGCAATTGCCATACCGCTACACTTGTTTCATGCATATAAATTACTTTATTATAATTATGCAGGGAGTTTTACAGTTTATATGGACACTGCAATGTAAGTAGAGCAGAAAAACAGAAGAAGGAAAAAAAAAAAAAAAAAGGACAAAAGATGAAAGAAAGAGGAGATAGGAAGGAGACGATGACAAAACATTTTCAGTCTGCTTCATCACCTGTAACGAGATGAAAAAAGAACAGCACAACCGAAAGACATGGTACGAGATATACAATAAAGCAACACCTTGAAACTATCGCTAAAGTAATATTATTAAGTCTGACATGTACTCTGTGTTACCTGAAGATATGAATGTGGGGTTTCTGTTTGGAAGTGAATCTCTAAGTACCTGAAGCCTAGCACCTGTAGTTGTTTGTGAGGGTAAACTTGTGCATGTAAAGTTTTAACCATAAAAAAAAGCTCAATAGTGGTTGTGGAGAGCCGGAGAGGCACACCCCCCAGAGCACTGAGTCCAGCGCCGGGAGACCCAAAGCCCCAGGCGCCCAAAGGGACCCCGGAAGCGAAGGCACCAAGGAGGGGCCAGCCCCGGAATGAAATAGAATTTACATGTGCTGAGAAAGTGTCTGTGGGGGATCTGGTCTTGTTAATGAGGCTTGTTGCAGATAGGAATAAGCTGTTTATTTGTGGTAAAAGGTTTTTAGTTCTGATGGACCGCAGTCTCCTTTTAGAGCGGAGAGACTGAAACAGTTTGTGCTGAAGATGGGAGGGGTCAGCTGCAATCTTTCCTTCTAGCCTCAGAGTCCTGGAGGTGTACAGTTCCTAAAAGTAGGAAGATTAGACCCGAGGACAGTCTATGCTGTTAAATTCCTTCTGGTTTTCCAACCTTGTTGTGTGAATTGTGAACCAGAGTTTATCACTGATATAACTCACCACGGTGTTGGTTTACAGCTGTGCTTAGTAAGCTGATGTGGGGCATTACAATATAGTTTTAGATTTGGTCTATATGCAGCAACGATCACATGATCATAGTAACCCAGTGCGGTGCAGGGGATGGTGTGATTGACACTAATTCCTGCGGTTTTATTAATGCAAAGTTTTTCCTTCTCTCCTTAAATAAACCGACTGAAGAGAAAACAACTACTAATTTTAAATAAACTTAGGGTTTCATGCAAAAGAAATACAGATTCTAACAATAATCTCTGTTGAAAGGCACACTATGCAACATTTTTCAGTTGATTGATGTGTTCCATAACGTTTTGGATGATTAAATGAGTCATTTCAGGCTGAACAAAGGTTTTCTCGGCCGCCCTGGTGGTCTGTAGGGGAAATACCGTACTTGCAATTGCAGGAACCCTCGGCCCGCACCCACAGGCTCAGAAGTCTCGTGCATGGTGAGAGTCGGTCTTGCTTTACGGCGAGAACTGCTACACGCCCCCAGTGAAAGGCATGCTCGTTGCTAGCGCAGTGGCGATATTTGTGCAGTTATCATGGCGGAACCAGCCAGAAAACAGTGAAAGCCCATGTCGGAGCAGGCAAGAGAGAGGAGAAGGGCTCTGGACAGAGAGAGGAGTCGTACACGGGTGAACATCGGGCAAGCTTTTTCCGAATGGCGAGAGCTAAAAGAAAAAGAACGCTGCAAGGCTGTCGCGGACCTCGCGTTTCTGCTGATGTGATTGTAAGTAACATTGGAATGGTTTCTCTCTCTGTGTGCATGTTCATACTTTCACTGTTTGTACTGCCGTTTTGTATGATTATGGTCTGTTGCTGAGTAGCTAAGTAGCTAGCGAAATGTTCGTTTTATTAGTTAGCAAGTTAGTTAGCTTGCTGCCTAAACATTGTTGTTGTGGTAGGTGATAACTGCATCGCTTGCTATTTGGCAAACTTGCTTCACATGTGAAGTATCTCAAGACTGTCTATTTACTTTACTAAATTCCTTATTTTGCGCAGATTGGGTTGCGTTCGCCTGTCTGCTAAGCTCAAAACAACCGTGCCTGGCTTGACGGAGAAACCAGAAGAACAGCTGAGCATATTTACGACAGTTCACTTTTACTTTCGCCCTCTGGGAGGAGCCTCGCTGGAAAATCAACACCGGTTGCATAGTATACCTTTAAATGCCAATCACTTGGTAACATCTGGCTGTTTTCATAATCAAATGTTTTTGAGACTAATTTCATTAGAAGTGGTTTTCATGGGTTGAAAAATTAAGATTCTCCAATTTCCTTATGGTTCTGATCGCATAGTGTGATGTAAAAGTGCTACTGGCAGAAAAAAGGAGGACGCCATAATACTGCCACCACTGTGCCTAATGATTGGTAAAGTGTTCGGACGTTCTTTATCTCATCTGATTCACAACATTTTTTTTCCAAGTGTTTTTCATATAGGCATCTGAAAATATTAGGTAAGCTTGACCGTTTTTATTTCCAAGCTTCTTTCAATTGTCTCTAATCCATCCTTTAATGGTGATGGACGTCTAAGTGGACAGACTCTGGGCAATTGGATCAGCTGACCCCTTTGTGATTCCTGAGATATTTTCTTAACATTTTAACCAGATTTCAGTCAGGAGGGTTCTATGAAGAACTTGCACTTCTAAAGTAGTTTGTACAAATCTTAAGTAATAAATAAATTGAACTTTATTGATCTCACATTGGAGAAATGTACCTCTTTATTTAACCCATCCCCTTTGGGGAGCAATCAGGGGTTAAGGGTCTTGCTCAGAGATCAGAGTGGCAGTCTTTGGGACTGGGTTTCAAACTCACAACCTCAGGATTCCAAACCCTATGCCCTAACCATTAGACTGCCACTCCCCGAATCAGAAGTCGATCAATTATAGCTCGAAAACACTTTCTCAGCTTGTTTTAAATCAACTTCTGTCCTCAAATTTTCTTTGTTTTTTTTTTTTTTTAATTGTAAGTTTTTCTTGTTGAAAGTCAACTTGTGAAGCTAAAAGTCATTCCAGAATATCTGCCCAACAAATTTATACATTCATGTCAATACATGTGTGTATATAGGGCTGAATGGATTAGATAAATAAACAGCAGCCTCATAAATGTGCACATGGTGGTTGCATAAACAATAATTTCACATGCCATACAACAAAAAGTTCCACTGCAACATTAAAAGTTAAGGTCTAAAACATATGAAAACGTTTTCAAGCATCGTAAATAATAATCCAGCTGTTTACCCTGCTGCTGTTGGGAGTCTTATTGTAGCTGATGGAGGCGTAGGAAACACCATTATCTGGATCAACCTGCAGAAAGTCAGATCAAGCAGTCAGCGAGGAGGTGATGCTGCAGCACCTCCTAGTTCCCTAAAAATGCATCAAGATAGCTCAGTTCTTGCATCATGTTCAGCATTTCCTGTTTCCACCTCACAGTAGCAAGTAGCAAAGTCTAACTTTATAGTAGCTTAATTTATCTGCAGTGTTTGTCTAAATACATTAAGTGGAACTAGAAAGGTTTCAGTGTACCTCATGTTGCTGGTTTTCAGGCAGAGGCTGAGTCTCTGGAGGTTTGAGGTTTCCACCCTGTAGATAGATACAGTCACATTCATGTGGTCGGTTATTGACATGTTATTTGGGATCATTTACAACTAAAGTGTTCCTGAAGTCATGAAGTGGTCAGATATCCTGAGGAAAGGTTTCTTTTTTTGCAGAAAACAGAGTCAGACTCACCAGCCCCACATTAAACTGTGATGTCTAATGATGTCAGAGACATTTACTAATGACTAAACTAATGATGTCAGAGACTAGCTGATAAACTTACCTCACTGGAATTTAAAAGCTGTAAACATTTCCATTTGATGCTATTTTAGCAAAGCAGCAATGAGCTGCTTTTTAATATGCACGCAACTTCCCATATTCCTCATTCTAATTCGTTTTATAAAGTTAATCACATTTTGGACCAGAACGGTTTGTAAACTCACCTTACTAGGAGTTTCTGTTTTCTTGCCTGAGGATGTGAAAGATTTCAGAATAGACTTAAATGAGAATAGATTTAAATGAGAGACATGTTTTAAAAAAAGAGAAATCTCTCACCTTTAGTCTTTATTACAACAAACACACCAACAGTTATTATCAAAAGCAGTAGAACCAGAGGAAGAGTGATGTACAACCACTGCAAACCTGGAAAGAAGAGGTAAAAAAAAAAAAGTATTATTGTTGGTAAAACTGTGCCTAAGAATGTCTGTGTGAATATATATGAGAGCTTTTATCAAATAAATAAAGATAATACCAGCAAAGATACAACAAAACTGAGAATGTAGAACTCATGTTTAGTTTAATTTGTGGTTAAAATCCTCACTAAATATAATCAGATCAGGATGATTTAGTTCCAGATTCTTTCAGTTCCGTTTGGTTTGTTTTCTCCTGTGTTTCTGCTCTTTGTTTGTCTTTTAGTTCACCTGTACCTGATGTTTCTGATGGTGATGTGGTCGTTGTTTTGCGTTTGTCTAAGAAAAGCAACAGAATTCAACAATAAACATTGTGCTTTATGTAACTGAAAAACTCTGAAAAGTCTTAAGAGGTTTTCATAATTCCTACCTGATGGATGAGAGCTGAAGGTAAAAATATGAACTTTATTGTCTTCTGTCTTTATTTCACACTTTAAATCCTTAAACCTTGTTTGGTAAATGAAATGAGACGTCTGGAAGGTGACAGCAGCAGAGCAGGAAGATGATGATTCTGTTATTTCTTTGTTTTCTTTATCCACATCTCTACCTCTAATCAACCACCTCACTCTGTGTTTACACTCCTTATCAGTCACCACAGAGCAGCTTAATGTCACCCTGTTCTGGTTCTGATCTTCTGTCACTGAAGATGATTTGAAAGAGAAAATCAGAGGAATTATGGTTCCTTCAGATCATGAAATCATTATGATTCAGCTGTCAGCAGGTTGTTGTCAATAAAAAGTGAAAATATTGTTTAATACTTACAGTTAACAAGAGAAAGATGAACAGCAGCATCTGGACCCTCCTGTTTATCTGATATAAACTGTCTGCAGGTGTAAAGACCAACATCCTCAGCTGTGACTTTCTTTAGAACCAGAGAACAGTTTGCAGAAACACTCAGTCTGTCTGATCTGGAATCTTCAACCTCCCCATGAATAACCAACTCTACAGTTGATTGTCTTGATTTACTGTAGATCCAGGTGGTGGAGCTACAATCACTGAATCTAGGATCCACATTTCTACAAGGCAAAGTGACATCATCTCCAGCTCTGACAGGGATGAGGAGGAATAGATCTCTATCGCTGCTTAGAGCTCCTGATGAGACCAAAGCAGAAATGTTCACATCAGAATTTAATATAAAGAATAACTGTTTAGATATTTGACATCTTATACAGCAGATTATCAACAGGAACTAAACTCAAGGTCTGCTCTATGAAACTAGCAACATGATGCATTGATGAAACAGTTTGTTAATGTTGAAATGAAGAGAACTGAATAAACAGTAGTTGTTCAGAACCTCACCTGTAAACTGCAGCAACAGGATGAAAAATACCAACATTTTCCTCCATCTAGATTCCTCCATGGTTCCTCTCTGCTTCATCGTCTCTCTCTGTTTCCTGAGTGACTCTGTCAACTTGAGCTTTTAAACCACAATCTTTCTACTTCCTGTAATTATTCAGACTTTAACTTCTTCATTCAAGCTGTCATCCTTCCTGCTCTCAGCTGCAGCTTTAAAGCAGAAAGGTTTGGTCGTCCTTAGATTTCCATATACTGAACACACATGAGCTGCTGGGAACTAAACAAACTACTGGGAATTTACATCTAAGTTACATCTGTGATAAAATATCATCTTATAAGTTGACTGAAAGGTAGAATAAACACTGACTGACAACAAGAAATAGTCCTGGTGCAGAAAACACATACATTCATCGCCCCCTTGTGTTCAACATGAAGAAATACAACAGAAAAAATTGAAGCAGGAACAAAATTATGAAAAAAAGGACAAGAAGTGAAAAAAATGCAGTGAATACAGGAACATTTTCAAAACAAAAAACAAGGTTTTGTGTGCTACTGTATAAAATTCCGAACTCAACGCTATTTCTGACATTTTGAATTGAAAAAGCTTGGGTCCAGTGGATTGTTTTTAATTTTCTTTTTGGAAGAACTTCAGCTCTCAGAGCAGATTTTTTCTCTCAGGCAGCAGAAGTTGGTTCAGCAGCAGATTTAGGAGCCTGCAGAGTCTCAGATTCTGGTGGAGCGATGAGAGACATGAGCTGACTGAGCAGAGGAGAAACAACCAGGAGAACATCTGGTCTCCTGCCTCCATAGAGGAGGAACTATTGTACAATTTCACAAGATTAATGAAATTAGTTTTATGCACTACCAGCTAGTAGAATATATATATATATATATATATATATATATATATATATATATATATATATATATATATATATATATATATATATATATATATATATATATATATATATATATATATATATATATATATATATATATATATATATTCAATCAATAATTAACAGTAAAAGTGTAAACAATGTGAAGTAAATTAAAATTATTTTACATTGAGCAGTATTTTATTTTGAAGTAAATCATCCTTTAATGTAATAAATATGATTGCGTCACTATCAAAGGGAAAACCGAGTACCTTTAAGCTGACACTAGATGGCAGTAGAGATGCTGTTTAGTTAGAAATTCAGGCTGATTTTAGTTCCTGATGTTCTGCAGCACAAAATTAATAAAACGTTTATTTATAATCAGTTTGGAAATGAAGTTTCATGTTTAATCTAGAAAGGAGAAATCTATTTATGTCAGTGTTTTATTTTTTTATTAATACAAAATTTTCAGCTTTTATGGAGCTCTTAGAATTTCAGTATTCACAAACTCTCCTATCTGATCCACACATTCACAAAACAACCCACTCATGAACAAGACAAGATTGATACATGCACAGGATAAAATCCACACATGTACATAACGATTCAAACAAACACATAAAACATACACATTCACAAGACATGATTAACAAAAAATATTTATGATGCGTTCACAATTATGTTTATTTATAAACTACTATTGGTCTATGAACTTCACTGCATTTGTGTGGAATTTAGAGACTCATCTGATGCATAAGAAAGGTTCTTGTGAAGAATGTCTTGTGAATATGTACATTTTATGTGCTTGTTTGAATTATTCTGTGCATGTGTGGATCTTGTTCTGTTTATGTGTGGATCTTGTTCTGTTTATGTGTGGATCTTGTTCTGTTTATGTGTGGATCTTGTACATGCATGAGTTGATTGTCTTGTGAATTAGTGGATCACATATTTGAGTGTGTGAATATTGAGACTAGCTCCTTACGCATTAGGAGGAACCCAGGGCCATCTGCGTCAGCATATGCTCTCACAAGGGGTCTGAGGATCTCATCTCGGTACCTAATGGCAGTCATGCTTCCTCTGGCAAGAAAATGGAGTGCTGTAGGAACCTCCAAAGAAATGCCACCCCACACCATTGCTGATCCTATGCCAAACCGGTCATGCTGATTAATGTTGTAGGCAGCTGCAAATTGCTCTCCTTCGTTTCTCTAGACTCTGTCACGTCTGTCACTTTGCTCAATGTGAACCTGATTTCAGCTGAGTTGAGAACAGTGCACCAGTGGCTAATTTGCCAATCCTGGGGTTCTCTGTTTAATGCCAAGCGTCCTGCATGGTGTTAAGCTATAAGCACAAAACCCATATGTGGGTTCTATGTAGATCTATGTAGGGCCCTCATACCATCTTTGTGGTGTCGGTGTCTAACCGTCTGTGCAGACATATATGCATTTGTGGCCTCTTGGAGGTCATTTTGCAGGGCTCTGGAAGTGCTCCTCCTGTTCCTCCTTGTGCAAAGGAAATCAGTGTTGCATCCAAAGTGGATGGTATGATTTCACAGAAGTTTGATTTGAGTGAACTTACATTGGTTCGTTTCCATGTTCAATGTATTTTTTGAGCAGTGTGTGTTGGTGATGCTGACCTGAATGACAATAACGATATGCTAAGTCTAAAATTGAACGTCAGAAGTTATTACATGTCATTAGAGTGTGAAACACATCTATCTCACTTAGAAACATGTCTAAAACAATCAGAAAATACCATAATAACAAAAAAGTTATATATTGCTTTAAATGTCTCAGATTACATTTATATAACAGAAACTGTGACAACAGGGGGTCAAATAAAGCAAAGATACCAAATAAAATTATTATGAAAACTTTATTATTGTTACTTCTGACAGGCTTTTATTTTGAAAGTGTGAAGGATTTTAATTAAAAACAGGGGTATTCTTTTACTATCTTTCCATTTTAGTAGGTAATAAAACACTAAGGGAAATAACAGTACAAATAGACTCTTTAACGATCTTTAAACAACAAAGTTTAGCAAAGACAGTTCAGGACAGATTTAATGGTGGCTAAATGTTTAAAATCTATACAGTGGAAATATTATAGGGAAGTAAAGATGGAGCTGAGAATTATTCTTTCTGCTCAGACTCTGCAGGACACAAAAAAAATCAAAAAGTTTTTTTTTTAATTCTGAATGTTTTTCAATTAAATAAAAACCTTAATATTCTCTTCTGGTTCAAAAATGTTTAAGTAGTGAACAGAAAATGTTTCAATTAAGCTAAAATGAAGGAGGAAATCAGATAAACCTGCTGATGTGGAGCTTCTAGATTTGCTGAGTCTGAAAGAGGCAGGAGGGTCAAACTGGAGAAGCTCTGACGTTTTCATAGACCACACAGCATCATCATCTTTATTGTGATTCACCTGATTCAAGTACAAAAAATAAAATAACACTACATCTGACACATCAAACATCTTGTAAATTCAGTGTCTTATCTGTTGTTTTATTACGTTTAGCAGAAAAATACAATGAAAGGGGTGCTGCTGTGTTGTGGAGGTAGAGCGCATGACCCATATACATGCAATCTCACATTTTCTCGAGTCCCAGTCCTAATTTTGCCAATTGTCTCTCACCCCTCTTGTAACCCATTTTCCTTTTTACATACTTTCAAAAATAACACAATAAAGGCCACTAAAAAGCCTAAAAATAATACAATCGAAACAGACCAACAGCTTGATTCACAGGTTTGGAATTAAACCAGAAACTATGGAGTAAATAACCCAGAATCACTGAAAATTCATTGACATAATCTTCACACAAAAACTCACATATTTAGGAATGTTGATGTTTTGGGATTTTTTGTAGATGTTGCAGGAATATATGTGATTTACTACCTGCACAAGGCCGATATGTTTTTGAAAGTCTGGATTCAGACCAACCACACTACAAAACGTGTTCAGCTAAACAAGCCTTACAATGTTAGAGCTAGACTAGGCTACTTTAATTCTAATGCACATTTCAGTGGCGGGATTATTAAAATACTGTACATATGAAAAAAAGAAAAGTACTTTGCAGTGGCGTAAATCTAAATGAAAAACAGCGTTAGCCAAAAAGTCTTTTTGAGTCCTTGTTCTTTTTCTTTGGAGAAACATTTACTCAAACATTAGTGCAACATTCTGCCAATGCAGTCAGACAATTGAAGTTGGTAAAACTTCTTATTTTGAGATTTTATGTCATGATTTTAAGAACTCTTACCAAATGTCTTTTTTTTTTGGGTGAGATCTAAGATTGTAAGACTGATAGACCCATTTTGCATTGCAGTCAATTATTTTTAATTCAGTTTATTTCTATAGCGCCAATTCACAACACGTCATCTCAAGGCACTTTACAGTTCACCAGATCATCCAGTCAGATTAATTCAAGTTTTCTATCTAGCAAAAACCAGTTGATTGCATCGACTCTTTGACTTGGATGCTATCCCCTTTTATCACTGAAGAATGAAAATAATAGAGGTTTTAACAAAGTTATATCAAATATATCCTTCTTCTCCTAGCCTAGATGTCTTTATTTCTGAATATCAAGTTATATCCATGCTGTATGGTGGGGAAAAGCTTCTGCAACATTGTGTTAGAATATATTTTGTCCATAGGGGGAATAAGTAAGACATTTACATTAAGATTAACCTAAAAGATTTTTATCTGCCACAAGACTCAACTCAATTCAAACTTTATTTATAAAGCACATTTAAAGCTGAAGTCTGTAAGTTTTTAAAAATCACTTTTTTGTCATATTGGCTAAAACTGTCCCTATGCCCAGACAGCAGTACATGTGATATGTAACCTGTGAAAAAAACTGCTTCAATTGGCACCGCCAACTGCCTGTATTTCAATCTGGAAAGAATAATTCGGGACGAGTCAAAACAACCAATCACAGCCAGAGGAGCGTCTGATGGAGAGTCAATCACAGCTCCCCCCCCTCACCGCTTAACCTCCCGCAGCGCCCGGCTGCCGCAGTCAGGAGGACGCGCGTGGAAGTCATGGCGGAGCGACAGCCACCAGCGAAAGAGAAACTGCCCTTACTGCCCCTGCCGACAACTGCTTACACGGCAAACTTCGGTATAACCAGCATCTTATATCTAGCTGCTTGGAGGTGAGTGTTATCGTTCTTACCGGTTCACACTCCATGCCGCGTACGCTGCTTGGACGCTTGTGGTCGCATGCGGTAGCCGCGCAGGTGCTGTGAGAGGGGTGGAGCTTGGAGGTGGGGCATGAGTGAAGCAGAGAGGGTGGGGGAGTGGCGTGAAACCTGTTTTTCTTCAAATTTTCAGTCGAAGTCTGCTCTCTTCTCAATGTTACAGACTGCAGCTTTAAGGGGGGCAGTCAAAATTTTGTAAATAATGTATGTCTATTCTGTTAATATTTCTGTATCTCTATAATGGGTCTGTATTGTGAGTTGTCTTCTCAATTCAGGGGGGCCACATGCCTGTCTTTGCCTAGGGCCCCAAATTTCCTAAATCCACCCCTGCTTCGATTCTCTCCTCTGGGTTTCATCTGTTGTGCCCAGAATGACCTCCCCTGTTGCAGGAGCACACATCGCCCTAAACTCACTTCCATTGAAATATGATCGAAAAGGGAAATTTTAAAGATATTCTTAATGTTTTCATATTTCTTATACATGGATGCCTTAAAATGATATCTTTGATGGACAGATTAATTTCAATTAATAGGATTTTACTTGTATGGAGACATGTTTCAGTCAACGTGCTACAGTCAGTGTGCAATGAATAAATTCTCTTCTCAGTGGATGCCAATTCCCCATTTTGCTATCATCATCATTCTAGATCATTTCTGACACTTTATTTGTCAAACTTAGAACCTGTCCAAGATTCCTTCCCTCCTCATTTTCACATTTATTGTCCCAGACTTATGAAATTCATACCATAATCACAGAGAGCAGGTATGATTTTGTGGAGAAACATGCATAACTGTAAACTCCTTATTTCTCAAACTAAGCAGGAGAGGGAGATCTTGGCAACTTTGAACCTGGAACCTGCAGAAGATTCCCTCCCTTCATTATTTTCACAGTCCCTCAAATTGTGCTGTCTTTGCCGCTTGGTAATGATGCTGTTTAGAACACCATCAGCTGTAATTTGGTCAGACATGCTGATTTGGTCAGTCTAATCAGAAGTGCACAGCCTGTCAAATGTTGAAAGGGCAATATTTTTGCTATAACTGTTTATATATAGAAGACATTTACACATTCAGTGATTAAAAAGTTACAGGGGATGATACACAGGGGATGGTCATTTAAGAATGGGGATGTCATCCCCCCTCATCCCCTCTCAACACAAGTACTGGTTATAGCATATCGAAGATTTAACATTAGTTCTAGTTACATATCTGAGGACCCCAGACTGCTTTGTTAGGCTAATGGATAGAAGCATAGAGGCCGCTGGGATATGAGGAGGGAACTTTAACTGCGCTGTATGTCACAGTATCACCTTCATGTTTAACCTGCAAAAAAACAGAAAAGAGATGCAGCTCAGAAGTTCACATTCATCATGGGAATGAAGTTCATTAAATTCAGGCTAAAAATGTATTAAATCAAAATGTAATTTAAAGGAAAACTCTGAAAGTACTTTAAATATAAAATTATTACATACTGTTCAATAAATGATAAGATATGATAAACGATAAGATATGATAAATGTTTTTAATTAGGAGTAATTTTCATTTGAATGTGCTTTACTGGATGCGTCCATTTTTGTCAAAGAACACTACTGCCACCTACTGGTTTGTGGCGTCACGGTGCGGTATCGGCTGTTGATCAAGACCCAGTGCTGTATCTGGTGTTTGTCACAAAGCACTATTATCCAAGTCATCTGGAAAACATTCTTCTTCCAAATGTTGGCTACATATTACGTGTTTTTTCTCTGGCCAGAAGTTCAATGGCAAATCCTCCCTCTTCAAGTTGGTGATCCAACGACCAACCCGTCCGTGGAGCATCAGGAATCAGAAAGGTGAAATAACTAATTTTTTCCCACTATTACCCAATGTATTAAACATCCAGCTGCCATGCACGTGGGCATTGTCAGTTTCACTATAGCTCTGGTGAATTTCAATGGTGAAGTCCTCTGGAAATCTTCAATAATTGTTGTTGATTGCAGATGTGTCTAGTAGTTCCCATTGATTTAGCTTGTAAAGCGGGGAGAATGGCGCTAGGCTTACCGCACCATGACGTCACTGCTGGAAGATGGCAGGAGGGAGGGGTTACTACATTTGTGCAAAAATGGCCGCTCCCAGACTCAGTGATCGCTCAGTGATCGCAACAAAAAAATGTTTTTTTAAATTTTTTAATTTTAATTTTTTTACTGATTAACGCTAAATTTATTAAATCACTGCAAACTTATTAGTTTAAGGTATAAATAATGATCCATTGATCATTCCTTGCTCACTGGACTTTTCCCTTAAGTAAAATAATAAATGGAAACTTGTGAGCAGGACTGTTAGTGTTTGGCTGAGTCTCTAAAATACATAAAAGCATTTTAAAGTATGACGAGTAATAAACCAGCTGTTTACCCTGCTTCTATTGGATGTCTTGGTGAAGATGATGGAGGTGTAGGAAACAGCATTATCTGGATCAACCTGCAGAAAGTTAAAAACCTTCATTATGGAGGTGATGCAATCAGACCTGCTGCTGTCTGAAGATAGCTCACTTCTCGCCTTTTGTTCAGCATTTCCTGTTTTTATCTCACAGTTGCATCAAGCAAAATATAACTTTAGCTTGAGTTTTCACCAGTGTTCATCTAAATAAATATAGTGGAACTAGATAGTTTCAACGTACCTCCTGTTGCTGGTTTTCAGACACAGGCTGAGTCTCTGGAGGTCTGAGGGTTTCACCCTGTAGATCGATACAGTCACATTCATGCGGTCAGTTATTGGCATGTTTTTTGGGATCATTTACATCCAATGTGTTTCTTAAGCTTTAGCTCAGAGCAAAAAAGTTGGATAAGAAAACGGAAGCAGACCCACCAACCCCCACATTAGACTGTCAGAACAAGGAGGAGGAGATGATGTCAGAGAGTAGCTCATAAACTCACCTCACAGGAATTATCTGTTGTTTTGCCTGAAATTTTGTAAAAGGTTTTAGATTAGCCGATAAGAATAAGAGTAAAATAAATAGAATAGAACCTTTACTACCTTTACCTTACCTTTACTCCTCTTTAATGTGACAGAAACAACAATAATTAATATCAAACCCACAAGAGGGAGAGTAATGTACAACCACAGCAAACCTGGGACGAAGGGATTAAAACAATCTAAACACACATCAACGATTATTGCCTATATTATACTATATCATTAATAACTGTATTTAAGAAAGTGTGCAATACTTTTAACAGGTCATATAGGTCTAGTAAAAACAAAAAAATATCAAAAATTAAAGGGCTTCTACAGAATATTTTAACATTTAAAAACAAAGTTTCAGCTTCATTTGTAATTAAAATCTTCACTAAATATCATCGGATGAAAACTGTTTTTGTTCCAAATTCTTCTAGTTCAGTTTGGTTTGTTTTTACCTGTGTTCCTTTTCTCTGGTTTTTCTTTGAATTCAGCTGTAACTGTTGTTTCTCCTGTTCCGCCGTACGTGAGTTTGTTGTGGTCATTGTTTTGTGTTTGTCTGAAAAAAGGGATACAAATCAACAATATTCAGTCTGCTTTAATGTTAATAATATATTTAACAACGTCTATTGAGAGATTTTCATAATTCCTACCTGATGGATGAGAGCTGAAGGTAAAAAGATGAACTTTATCATCTTCTGTCTTTATTTCACACTTTAAATCATTAAACCTTGCTTGGTTAAAGAAATGAGATGTCTGGAAGGTGACAGCAGCAGAGCAGGAAGATGATGATTCTGTTAGTTCTTTGTTTTCTTTATCCATATCTCTACCTTTATTCAACCACTTCACTCTGTGTTTACACTCATCAGTCACCACAGAGCAGCTTAATGTCACCCTGTTCTGGTTCTGATCTTCTGTCACTGAAGATTATTTGAAAGAGAAAATCAGAGGAATTATGGTTCCTTCAGATCATGAAATCATTATGATTCAGCTGTCAGCAGGTTGTTGTCAATAAAAGCTGAAAATATTGTTTAATACTTACAGTTAACAAGAGAAAGATGAACATAAGCATCTGGACCCTCCTGTCTATCTGATATAAACTGTCTGCAGGAGTAAAGACCAACATCCTCAGCTGTGACTTTCTTTAGAACCAGAGAACAGTTTGCAGAAACACTCAGTCTGTCTGATCTGGAATCTCTAAACTCGCCAAGTTTAACCAACTCTACAGATGATTGTCTTGATTTACTGTCCTGATGAGACCAAAGCAGAAATGTTCACATCAGAATTTAATATAAAGAATAACTGTTTAGATATTTGACATCTTATGCAGCAGATTATCAACAGGAACTAAACTCAAGGTCTGCTCTATGAAACTAGCAACATGATGCATTGATGAAACAGTTTGTTAATGTTGAAATGAAGAGAACTGAATAAACAGTAGTTGTTCAGAACCTCACCTGTAAACTGCAGCAACAGGATGAAAAATACCAACATTTTCCTCCATCTAGATTCCTCCATGGTTCCTCTCTGCTTCATCGTCTCTCTCTGCTTCCTGAGTGACTCTGTCAGCTTGAGCTTTTAAACCACAATCTTTCTACTTCCTGTAATTATTCAGACTTTAACTTCTTCATTAGAGCTGTCATCCTTCCTGCCTCGGCTGGAGCTTTAAAGCAGAAAGGTTTGGTCGTCCTTTGATTTCCTTATTCTGAACAAACATGAGCTGCTGGGAACTAAACAAACTACTGCGAATGTACACCAGAAACCTACAAAATGTATCTAGCTTAATCCTGCATCAGCTTTGCTCAATAAATATATATAAGATTTTTGTTAATAAAGTGCATAATCATTTTTATTATAGCAAATTGTTTTAGGGAATTTTCATTAAAACCTTATTTAAATGGGAGGAATTAACCTTCTTTTAAATTCACCAACATCAATGGGAAAAGTCCTGCAGAAGACAACCATAGCGAACAGCGCCCCTTCTGTTCAACATGATGAAATACAGCAGAAAAACATAATAAAACTGTAGTAGCTGTTTTGCAACAAAGAAAACATATTTTTAAAAATCAATACATATATATTTATATATTTAATATAATAATATAATATAATATATAATAATTTTATATAATAATAATAATAAAAAAGAAATGTAACAAAAACTGATTTTACTCATTAAGGGGAAGGAAAGTGGGGAGTAACTTGAAAGCTGCAGAATAGAATAAAAGTGACCAGAAATGAGGGTACTACAAGGTAATAATGTTCTTTTTTAAGTTAAACAGGACTGTAAAAAGTTAACAGATCACACCACGGTGGTGGGCCTCATCAGAGACGACAACGACCAGGACTACAGAGAGGAGGTGGAGCAGCTGGGGGACTGGTGCAAAGATAACAACCTGATCCTGAATGTGGAGAAGACGAAGGAGATCATTGTCGACTTCAGGAAGAACCGGCCTAACCACACTCCATTGGTCATCAACAGCTCAGCTGTATAGGTGGTCAACTGCACCAGATTCTTTGGGGTGCACATCACAGACACCCTCACCTGGACTGTAAACACCACCTCACTAATCAAAAGGGCACAGAAGCGCTTATACTTCCTGTGGAGGATGAGGAGAGCCCTCCTACCCCCACCCATCCTCACCACTTTCTACAGAAGCACCATAGAGAGCGTTTCTGACCAGCTGTCTCACTGTGTGGTGTGGAAGCTGCAGCGCCTCAGACTGGAAGAAGGTGAGAAGAGTAGTAAGAACAGCAGAGAGGTTCATCATGGCTCCTCTTCCCTCCATAAAAGACATTTCATCCCAGCGCTGCATATCCAGAGCCTGTAACATCATCAATGTCGCCTCACACCGCCACCATGGGCTGTTCTCCCCGCTGTCCTCTGGGAAGAAGCTTCACATCATACGCTGCAGGGACCAGCAGGTTCTGCAACAGCTTTTCCTCACTGCCATTAGACTGTTGAACCATTGATACTGTAATCAAGACTCTGCATCTCACTTGAAAAAATGATATTTGCACTACTAACGTGGCTGATTTTTTCATAATCCCTTTTAATAGGACACAATTCAATGTTCTCCTGCATTTCAATCTTAAAAACAAGAAGAGAAAAGACAATTAGGAGAAATTTACAATTTACAACAAAGATACAATTACTTTGGCACTCAGACCTCGGCAGGAAACATAGCATTTAATTTTGATAGATATGCATGAATAGGAGTAAAGAATATGGCTGCCCCCCAGTCCTAAAACTGGTGGTGGAGTGAAATTAATTAAGTTGGTCAGCCTGTTGACTGCTGGTTAGCGAGACGGTCTGCTGAGCTTTATGGAGAGATCCAGTGGATTGTGTTAGCTGATACTAGAGCTTCACTCAGGGACCTGGAAGATGGAAGTCTAGCTTGGATAACCCAGGTTGAGAGAACCTGTCCATGATGAGCAAGCACAAAGTGACAGTGGAGAGGAAAAACTCCCCGTTGGGAAGAAACCTCTGGCAGAACCAGGCTCAACATGGTGGTCTTCTGCCGGACCGGTTAAGATGAGACAGGGAACGCAGTACGAGTCTGGGCAGAATGACACTCTGATGAGGCTTTAGCTACGAAGGTGGAGGAGGGGCTGAAGGTGGGTTGAAACGGTGTCATCTGAATGAAGTCACGCAGCGCATCCACCGCCCGTGCACAGGAGCACACAGGTGCGTATCGGAGGCCTTTTAAGATGAACTTTGGACGCCGATCGGCTTTCGTGAAGGTGTGGTTCAAAGCTGATTGGCTGTGTCGCAGGGGGATGAAGGAAAGCAATGAGTTTCTTCAGCTGAACTTTCGCCTAAGCTCCATTTTACACCATATCTACTTATTTTGAACTGTTCTGAAAGTTTCCATATCAATGCCTTTTGCACCATGGCGTTAAACCGGTTTTCCTTTTTCTCCTACACTGTCTACATCATTGATCACTGTTGCACTTCATAAATGGTAATGTTCTTTCATTGTTGAAAAGCTGTATTCATCCAAGCTTCGTTTTGTATACACTCTGTGTATACAAGATGACAATAAAGTTTGTCAAAGTAAAAGTGTGATAGCAACAAACCAACCTCCTTTTTTTTTTTTTTTACAGGTTTTCCATTTAAACCTCTACTTTCCACCGAATTGTTGGTGCTATTGCCATAGGTAAAGGTAGTAAAAAACCCAGAATCACTCAAACTATAGCAGGGCTTTGCAAAGAGACTACTGTATCATCGCTAACCATTCCGGGATATATCTGCTCGTCTAGTGACCTTGGATGATTACTACTTTACAAGGTGCATTGTTGGAAATTTCGAAACCATTTTTTTTTTCATCCGCTGCACATTTGGAACCTAATTTAAAATGACATAAGCACTATATAGGGCCCTAACCAACATATAGTGCCCTATATAAATTAGATTCAGAAGTGATGAAGCAGAGCAAGAATCACTTTTTGTTCAAGTTTACATTTTATTCAACTTATTGCTTTTTGAAAGGAATCTTCTTTAACAACATTTCAGTTCAATAACTGCCATGCTCTCATCTGTGTGTTAACCACAGGACATTTCCCCTTTAGTTATCAGAAATAAACCCATTTAGTGGTACCATAACAAAGGACTCTGAGGTAATTTAACACATCTTAAAATGTCAAGAACTGGACTTTTATACATTTTTATCTAAAACAGGATCTTCACACATTTCTCATCTTCCTGTCTTTAACGCTTCCTCAGTTTCAGAAACCTTGATGATCTCAGTCTGTTGTTTCATGTTTTTGCCTTTAAAATGTTTATTCAAGATTTCAACTGTTCTGTATATCAGTTCTGGTTTAAAGTCTCTAAATTATTCAGCTGTAACCTCTGATTGCATTTATACAAAGCCTCACCTACTTAAACTAGCTTTAAACTTAATAGTTTAAAATAAAAACCCTAACCCTTAGTATTTTAAGGAGGTGACATCATGTGAGTCTGAGGAAGTAGATGCTACCAGAGTTAGTCGCTGGAAGACAAGAGAACAAGAGATGATCGATGGCTGAATTCAGCTGGATTAAAATGTTTGTCTTATTGATGCTAACCTTTAAAGGTGAGAATATAGTTATATCAATTTATTGCAGATAATCAAAATGTTCAGATGAAGCTTTAAAGAATTATATTTGATTTAAGATACACTTTTCAATTTAATTCTTGACAATTCAAACCCTTTTCAATACAAAGGACATTTTCTGATTATTGTGACTATTAGGTTAATTGGCTTCTCTAAATTCTCCTTAGGTGTGTGTGTGAATGGTTGTTTGTCCCGTTTATCTCTGTGTTGCCCTGAGATGGATTGGCGACCTGTCCAGGGTGGACATCGCCTCTTGCTCGTAGACAGCTGGAGATAGGAACCCCTCGTGACCCCACTTGGGATTAAGCGTGTCAGAAAATGGATGGATGACATTACTCACATAAATTTCACATTCCTGATTTCCTTTCTGTCATCTCCTCAGCATCAGCAGCAGCTGAACAAAGATCTTACTTTATTGTCAGAGACTGAGAAAAGTCACTCTGCCTGCTGAATGTTTCAGAACCTTAATGGATTCCGGTAATAAAACTACCTGGATATTCAGTGGTCAAATAAATACAGCAGGAACATTGTTTGAAGCTGGACAGATTCACGAAGATGCCAGAACTAAATCAGACAGACTGAGTGTTACAGCAGACTGTTCTCTGGTTATAAAGAAGGTCTCAGTGGAGGATGCTGGTCTTTATACCTGCAGACAGTTTAAGTCAGCAGGACAAGAAGGACCAGACTCTTCTGTCCATCTGTCTGTTGTTACCAGTGAGTTTTTATATCATTATGTTTCACTTTCAGAACAATAAATTATGAAATATAATAAAAACTGAAGCAATGAAATCAGTTTTAATGTTGTGTTACTGTCATAATGTCTCCATCTTCATCAGTTTCTGAACAGAAGAACAGAGATGAAACTATCCTGAGCTGCTCTGTGTCTACATTGGATGGATGCTCACACGCAGTGAAGTGGTTCTATGATAACAAAGATGCTGAAAGTATCAAAGCCTTAAATCAGTCTCAGTCTGTCTGTTCAGCCAGTGTGAGATTCTCAACATCTCATCATGTTTATTCATCTAAGAGTTATGAGGCATTCAGGTGCCGAGTTAAAGCTAAAAGCATATTTGCAGAATAAATGAATTTACATCATGA